AAGTTAGAGAGATAGAGCTATACTAGGGCAGGAAGCTAAAGGAATTAGAGAAAGGCAAGGCAAATCTAGAGGCAAGCTTAATATATACTTACGGAACCGAATTCTCTCAAGCTTATATTACTTATAGTAATAAGAAGAGACCGAGAGGCCTTTTTAAATACTATATAGTTATGGAAGGCGAATTTAATAGTACTTATATAAATTACAAATATAATAATAATAGTAAAATCTATACTTTCTATTAACTTAATACTAATCCTACTAAGTCTGGAAAGCCTCGCTCTATATCTGCAAAACCCTTTATACCAAAGCCTTAATTACCTATAAGATATAGAAAGCAAGTATAAAGACAGATATAAGATTAGAAGGTAATAGGGAAGAAGGTTATAGTAGAGAAGGGTGAGGATACTAGAGGAGAAGGGGACAAAGGAGATATAGATAATTCGAGTAATATAGGCAGTACGGAGGATATAGAGAGTAAGGGAGATAGAGATGTGCCTCGTAATCCATGGGATTTGCCTTACGGACCATGCAAGCTAAGGGGGGGTTAGGAGTAGTCGAGAATAAGGCGTATATACTATACTTTTTTTTTACCCAAAACGATTAGCAAATTTAAACTTTCTTATTCGGTAGAGGTCTTTGAAACTTTTGGGCGACGTTCCCTTTTTACCCTAATCCCTAGCTCTTCCCCGTAAAACACGTCGCCGAAGCGTTTGGAAGTTTTCGCCAGCTTAGCCGGGAGTCGGCCCTTGTTCCGCCCTTATGAAGCCTTGGTAACAGCACGAAATAACCTCCTTTCGTTGCTCCCGGGTAAACCTTGCAGGCCTGCATTTACTATAGGAGCGAGCCTCAGGCTTTCATATGCCCTAAACCGTGCCCCCCTCAAAACCATATTCGGGACATGATCGTTCCTCCTGCCTTCTACTCCGTCCTCTTCTGCGGCTCCTCACGTCAGCCCTGGGCTATCCACCCCAACAAACCGAGGGTGTTCCAGACTCAATGACCGTTGTATGACTCCGGTAATCGCCCGGATTCGCCCTGGTTTAGGGGCTCTTCGGCTTTTTCACTAAAAGACTAAAAGACTAAAAGCGCCGGGTATTGGTGGGGTGGGTGGTGGAGTGGTTAAAAAAAAAAAAAAAAAAAAAAAAAATATAAAGATTTGAGAAGATTTAAATTACCTCGAATTATTTATAATTAGTAAAGTAAATTAGTTAACTATATAGATTAAGTATAGTTTAATTATTATTAGTATATTTTAGCTTTTACGAATTAGTAAGAGAAAGAATATTTTTATTTTTATTTTTATAACTATAATACCTAAAATTATAATTTTTTTAATATTTAAATATACTTAACCTAGGGCTATTAAGTACTAATATTTCTATTTTCAGGTATTATTTATTATAAATTTATTCGAATTTAAATAATTATATTAAATATATATCTTTATATCCCAAAGATAAATAATAAAGATATAGCTATACTAACTTTAATCTTAGCCTTAACCTTAACCTTAACCTTCTTCCGAAAATAACTTCGATTCCGATATATAATACTATTATTAAAGCTTTTCTTTATTAAAGATATATCAAATATGGCTTCAGGTAGCGACTCTAGTAAAGGCAAAAGTAATAGAAAAGGCAATAAAGCTATAAATAAGCGAAAAAATAATATTTATAATATATCCTCTAATAATCTAGACTCAGTCTATAATATTCTCTCTCATTAATATATTTAACTAATAAACCCCTCTGCTTCTTAACCTTCTCCTTATATATAATCTCCTCTTTCTTCTCTATAATAATACTTTAATCTCCTTATACTATCTAATAATACTACTAAAGTAATAAAGCAAATTAATAATAAGACTAAAGTTAGAGAGATAGAGCTATACTAGGGCAGGGAGCTAAAGGGATTAGAGAAAGGCAAGGCAAATCTGGAGGCAAGCTTGGTATATACTTGCGGAACCGAATCCTCTCAAGCTTATACTACTTATAGTAATAAGAAGAGACCGAGGGGCCCTTTTAAATACTATATAGTTATAAAAGGCGAATTCGATAGTACTTATACAAATTATAGATATAATAATAACGGTAAAGTCTATACTTTCTATTAACTCAATACTAATCCTACTAAGTCTAGAAAGCCTCGCTCCGTATCTGCAAAACCCTTTATACCAAAGCCTTGACCGCCTATAAGATATAGAAAGCAAGTACAAAGATAGATACAAGGTCAGAAGGTAATGGGGAAGAAGGTTATAGTAGAGGAGAGTGAGGATACTAGAGGAGAAGGGGACAAAGGAGATATAGATAATTCGAGTAATATAGGCAGTATGGAGGATACAGAAAGTAAGGGAGATAGAGATGTGCCTCGTAATCCATGGGATTTGCCTTACGGACCACGCAAGCTAAGGGGGGGTTAGGAGTAGTCGAGAATAAGGCGTATATGCTATACTTTTTTTTTTTGGTGAGGTGTGGGTGCGAAAATCAGAAAATCAGAAAATCACTTTTCGCTTCTCGGATTTGTCCGCTAGCCCGCTAATGGCCTCAGTATGTGCCAGTACTCAGACCTGTGAGCCAACAACCCCACTATCGTCCGACTCACTCCTCGGCGTCTTCTCCTGCTCCATCTCCGTCCTCCTTGCTAGTACAGGCTTATACCAAACTCCCCCGCGTGCAGAATCCCGTATACTTCGACTCCGAGCGAGATATCATTTACGCCGACGTCAATGCCCTCGTTGCTTTCTCAATAAAGCACGACAATGTTCCGAAGTATTCCCGCTTGTCGCTGAGCCGATTCGACGCTTGAGGTTTCGAAGCCTGACAAATGCCTTCTCGATCCTAATCCCATTTCCTTGCAGCGGTTCAAAGTTCTGGAGATGGCTATTCTTCAATTAAACGATAGCAAAACCATTGGCGCGTTTCGGGCCACGCAACAGCTGGTGACAAAGGAATGCAGATGAGAATTCAAGGAGAGGGCAGATCCTAAATGGCTTTTCGTGTCCGGAAACCAGATGAAGAGGCTATCACATCGACCGAGGGATTTGCAGCAAGCGTAAGTTCTCAGCTGCCTTCTCTGAGTTTGGTAATACTCTTGTTAATGCATTGACAGATGTGAGACCTTGACGGCCTAAGTGATGGAGTTATTCACGAAGTTCGGAGGCGGAAGCGAGACAATGAGAAGATGAATCCTGTTGTCAGAGCAAACACGAAAAGGGTAACGAATGATACGATGGCAGCGAGCGGGGACCTAGATCATTGGCTCTCCTCAGCTGGGCTAAAAGGAAACAGTTGAATACAATAGAGCCGGTAGTATTGTACATTTCATGGGATGGTGATATCTATAAAATATTGGCAGGCGCGGGGCGAGATCGTCCTGCCATTCAAGAAAGAACACGTGCGTGCTCTTGGAAGATCTAGTTGACCTCAGCTTTGCCTTAGAGCTCCATCCTTCTCCTGTCACCACCGTAGAACTATATTGAAAAGTGATCGATTTATTGATGGAAAATCGATATATTGGAGGTTGACAATCTGTAGAATGACTAGATACAGGAGAGTGAAGAGTAAAAAAAAGGAGAGGAAGGAATCTAAAGTACAGTTCTTATATACCCACTAGTGGGTGGCGATTTCCTCTAGTATATTATAAATCAGATGACTCATATATATTAGTGAGCGTTCCCTGAGCTTCCATAGTGAGCTATTCCATAGGCTTCCATAGTAAACCATTATAAATGAGAGTGGCGAAGCTAATATTAGTAGTTGAACCTGGTACTGGAAGGACTAGTAAGCTAGTACCAATTCAACAAACTATATCTCAAAGTGAATAAAAGGACCAAGTCAAATAGTGTCTTTGCTCGAACATGCCCTGAGGTTTTAGGCACGCGAAAGCCCCGGATGCTCAGACAACATCTGCATTCTGAGCCTATATCCTGCGCAATCTCAAGCCGACCCCCTTGAGTCTGACTTGGGGTGCAGAGCCCGAGTGCGGAAACTTGAGATTGGTCACTCTGTTTTCTGAGCCGGTTAAGTTTTGCGCTTTGGTATAGTGCCAGGGGGCGTGAACTATCCTAGTAAATAGGATTCTCTAGAATAGATATCTTTCGAATCCTGGGAAGCGTAAGTGCGCTTGCACGCGTCCGTCTTCGTAGAAAATTCTTTAGGTGTTTCCAGCAAACACTTCACTACCACTTATCCCTTTAATAAAGGTTACTCTGAATACTTATTGGGCGAACTTTTGAAATAGATCTTCTAAGCAGCTGAAGACTATCAGACTCTTGGCGATTTCCCATTGGCGATAGAGAGTTCAAGCCCTAGCAGAGTCCTAGAAGTCAAAGAAGAGTGACGTATTTACTGGTTGCATAGGTATCCTAATTGGGCCTTTGCAACTTTTTCAAATAGATGCCAGCCCCCCAGCCATTGTTTGCTGCTTCGCAGAAGTTTTTGCATTTCATTAGAATTTTTGTAAGCTAGTCAATATCAGGTTTCGCTAGAATCGCGGGGTCTAATGTCTCAAGGTCTAATTAGCCGGTTCCCCTCTCCTATCTCGCATCGCTAAAGTGACCCAAGAAGGTGGACTGACAATTAGTTGCACGTGTTATAATAAAGAATTCCAATTCGCTTTAAAAGAACAAACTTTCCTTATCTATGGCCTTTTGTAATAAGGAGGGATCTATTCGCTGAATTTTCTGCGCTATAATATCTTAGTAGTAGTATATACCTTGTAAGAAGACTGTGAATGCCTAACCCTGTAAGTAATAAGACAGATTTTATAGCGAATAGAGCAGAAAGTAACTAAAATACCTTTCTAAATATTTATTTTGACCACATTTCTATACGGGCCATCAAGCACGTTGTTCGTCTTTAAGTCTCTATTGATGGACTTTTCAAATGAATACCTCCTTCCGACGGAAAAATAGGAGAACCCCCACATGGTACTTGTTGCACCTTCCGTCGTGCTAGTAAGCTGGGTTATAATTCTATCATTATAAATAAGAGACCAGCTTTGGGTTTGCTCCAGATTCTATTTGATATTAAATATCCATTATAAATCCATCGACCATTCAAAATCTCTTTAAACGATATCTATCAAAATGCAATTCAACGTCGCAGCCTGCCTCATCTTGCCAATGGTCATGTCCACGGCAATTGCAATCCCCGTTTCTGGCGAAAGCCTTCCCCTTAAGGCTGGAACTTCGGCTGCCGTCGATGACTTGGCGGCCTGGCAAGCCATTGTAGATGAGTACTATTCTGGTGGTAAGTATTTCCCGCCAGATTAAACAAGACGTGGCATTTCTTTGATGTATTCCTTTTGACCTTGTTTTGGGCGTTTTCGAATCACAATTTCTAATAAGTCGTAGATTCATCCGTTGAAAATAGAGGACTTGAGAAGAGATCAAATGTGCCAGGCATGCATTGCGGCTTTGCACGATTCCTACGTATGTACCAATTCGAGCGGAGGCTTAGGTGGGATTGGATTCAATTCTGATTTCGTTACCAGGATGCGCCGGAACCCAGGGTTCCATCATCGTTAGCTGTGGCTTTGCAGCTGCTGCTTTTGGCTCAGGCAAGTATAGAAACCCTACTATTCTACATAATTAATTAATAACCTAATGCAGACATAAAAGAAGATGCGAAATGCGCTGCTGCTATTGAAGTCGAAGTTGTCAACCCGGTAGGTCCCTTTTGATTAGACATAGTCAAGTTTACATTTCTGATAGGAGATAGAGCTCGGATTGCAAGCTGTGCATCTATGGCCACCTTTGAGTAATATGCGGCCTTTGTAATATCGCAATGCTTTTATTTATCGAGAGCGAAGTTCGTGCTATTAGGAGATATTTTGAGAGGTTGCCTTTGCTTGTTCCTTTGTACGATCCGACTACTTGATTCAACATCAGTAGTCTTGATATATTTCAATATTCAATTTGAACAATTTGAACTTCACAATTACGGGTTTATTAGGCTATACGCTATTAAATATTCTCTTTCTCCTCCCAATTACTTGTATTTATAGGGTCATATTCCCTTAATACATATAACTTCTATATTCTAATTTTTATAAAAGCTTCTTATATCTAATATTTATTATATACTATATTATTTTAAAGTCTACTTTATAAACCTCGAGTTCTTTTAAAGAATTTTTCGAAAATAAAAAGCAAATTAAATTATATATATTAAAATAATAAAGAATAATTTATTTTTTAGAAACCCAAAATTTTAATTTAATAATAATTATAAACTATTAGTAAATTAACTTTTATTATTATCTTATAAGTATTATAAATTAAAGGCAATTCTTATTAAAGCTTATTTTATTATTAAAAAAATACAAATTCAAGAATTTATTTTAATTAAATAAAATTAAAAGTTTATTAAAAGTAATATAGCTATTTTTATTATTTTTATTAATAAAGAATTTCATATATTTTTATTAGAAATTATTTAATATAATACTTTATTTAAAGTATTATATATATAAACTTTTTAAATATTTATTATATATATAAGAAAACGCGTGAAAAGATTTAAAAGAAAATTATTTATATAATAATTAAATTAATAAATCGAGCTTAAAATATTATAATAAAGAAACTTTTTAATTCATTAAAATACAAAATTAATTAACTTACTAGTTTTTATTTATTTATTATATATAATACTTAAATAATCTTAAACTTTATAATATATTACTTAAAATATTATTTATATTTTTATTATTTTTATTAATAAAATTATTACTTTTATAAAACTATTAAATATTAGAATTAAAAAATATATAAATAGAATCTTTAATTTTTTATTAAGTTAATAATATTTGAGCTTATATAAAATATAATTATATTAAATAAGTAACTAAATATAAAATAAAAAAGATTATTCTAGAAAATTAAAGTAACTAGATTTACTAATTATAAATAAAATAAAATTATTAAAGCAAATAAAGAATTAGTAATTATTTATATTAAAATATATTTATATAAAAAGAAAAAAAGTAATTAATATAAAAAGAAGAAAATAAGAAAATAAGTAAATTTAATTAATATAAATTATTAAATTAATAGCTAATTATAACTTTTTAATAATTATAATATAAAAAAAACTTAAGAGCTTAAAATATATATTAGTAAATAATAAAAACATTAGACTTTATAGCTTATTTTATAAGAAATATTTATAATATTTAAATATTTAATAAGGTATTATTTTTCGAATTATATTTCGGTTATAATAAAATTTCTATTAAATAATTAGTTAAATCTTTAAAATATAAGTATTATTTCTTTTTTTAATTTTTTTAATTTAGGAAATTAGTAAAGTTTTATTAGCTTTATAGACTAATTCTTTTATTTATTTATTAAATAATTTAATACTTCTATAATAAAGAAAATTAATATTATTATAATATTATAGTTTTTAATAATTAAAATATTAAATGAATCTAAAAAACTTAATTATAATTATTTGAAATTATATATAAATTCAAATAAATAAATAAGCTATTTATTAGTACTCGATTTTATTATAAAATAATATATTATTTTATTAATTTAATAATAACTAGAATTAAAAGTAATAAATATTAATATTAAAATAATATTTTTATTTTTATTTAAAGCTAAAAGTAATTTGTATTTTATTTTATAAATAGCTTAAAGTTTATATTAAAAGTTATAATTATTATATATTAGTTATAAAAATAAAATATTAAAAAAGTATTAATATATTAATATATTAAAAGTTAATAATATATAAAATTACTAGATATAATAAAATAAAGTTTAAAAAATAAAAAATAAAAAATAAAGATTTTTATTTCTATTATTTATTAGTAATATTAATAATATTAAGCCTGCTTTTTTTAATATATTATAAATTAATTATAATAATAAATAAATTATAATAATAAATAAATTATAATAATAAATAAATTATAATAATAAATAAATCATAATAATAAATAAATTATAATAATAAATTAATTTAATATAAAATATTATTAATAAAAGTACTTAATATTAAAAATACTTGAAATTTAAATTAGTTATATTTTTTAAAAATAAAAATAAAAATAAAAATTATTTTATTTTACTATTAAAATAAAATTATATTATTCTCTAATATATAATAATTAATATAATAAAATAAAGTTTAATAAATAGCTAAATATATTTCAAAATATTATTTTAATTACTTAAAAACTTAATATATAATATTTATAAATTAATTTGATTTATATAATTTAGTATTATAATTTTTTTTAAAAATTTAAGTTTTAAAAAATAGAAATTATATTTGCTTTAGCTTATTATAAAATCATAATTACTTTTATTAAAAAATTCCTTATTCTTTAATTAATTAAATAGCTTATTAAATTTAAAAATAATAAGAATAATTAGCTTTATATTTATATTAATAAAATAAGCAAATTGTTTTTATTATATAAAAAAAATTAGTAGATCTAAATATTATAAAAGTAAGCTTTATTATTTTAAGTTATTTATTTTATTATAAAATAAATATATTAGAAGCATAAAACTTTTTTCTATAACTTATATTTTATATTTTTGAATACTTTATTTAATTTCTTATATATTCTAATATTTTATCTAAATTATTTAAGTAATTTAATAAAACAAGATTTATAAATATATTAAATAGCTTTTATTTTCTAATATTACTTTTAATATTTCAAGATTTTTTATATTTAAAATACTTTTATTAAATATTTAAAGCTTATTATTATAAACTTAATAAATAATAAATAAAAATTAAAGTAAATATATTAGCTAGCTTTAAAAAAATATAAAGTATAAAAGAACTAAGAAATATATAATATTTAAGCTTTCTTTCTGAATTATATAATTATAAGTAAAACTAGTTTTAAAACCTAATTTCTCTAAAAGAAAAATATAAAAGCTTTTTAAGAAGAAACTATAACTTTATTATTTATTAATTTCTTAATAATTATATCTTTAAAATAAAAGTATTATAGTTTAAATTAATTATAAATAATTATATTTTAAGTTTTATAAAAGTCTTATATTTTAATTAAGTTTTAAAATTATAATTAATATTAAATAAAAAATCCATTTCTTTTTAAATTAATAAAAGCTTAATACTTCTTTAATTTTATAACTTTAATAGGCTATAATTAATTTAAAATATTTAGCTTATAATAAATATAAAGTTATAAGTAAAATAGTAATTTTAATATTTGTAATTTAAAAAAAATTAAGAAAAATAAGACTCTTATAAATTATTTTTAAAATAAAATAAAATAAAATAATTTTCTTAAATAACTTTATTATTATTTATTTAAATTATAATAATAAAGCCTTAAATTAATTATATAATTATAAACTTTAATTTTATAAAAGCTTTTATTATTTAAATAATATTTAGTATTATAATTAAATAATTATAAAATCGTAATTTTATTTTAAATATAGTTTTTATATTCTTATTAAAAATTAATTTTAAAGCTAGTTTTACTTATAGCTATAATTATAGTTAAATACTTATTAGCTAAAAGCTTTTTACTTTATAATATTATTATTACTTTTATAAAAGCTTGCTTTAATAATATTTTAAAAAATAAAATAGTTTTTCGAGGTTATATTATTATAATTTGAAATAATTTATAAAAAAGAAAACTAATATAAAATTAGAGACTTATATAATTTAAACTAGTTTTTATTCGAATTATTAAAAATAAAACATTTTAATAACTTTATTAAAATAAATTATATAAAGTAATTATATTAAAAAACTAAAAGATATAAATAATAATATCTGAAATAAAAAATATTTAATTAATTAAATTAAATATAAATATAAGAATAGAATTAATATGAAATAAAAATACTAATATTTGAAAAAAAAAATATATTAATATTTAATATAAAAAAATAATATCGAGTAATTTTTATTATATCTTATTAATTAAATATATAGTTTATAAAAGAAAATTTATATTATTTAACTCGCCTAATATAATATAAATAATTCAAATATATTAGAGTAAAGTCTAATTTCGAGAGAAATATTAAAAACAAATTGGGAATTACTAAATAAGTTATAATATATTTAATATTAATAAAGCCCTTAATAGCTTTCTATAAATAAAGCTTTTAATAATAATTAAAAGTTAGTTCTATAATTATTAATTAATACCTTTAATATATATAATAAGAAAAGGCAATAATTATAAAATATATATTTTATAAGAAATATAAGTTTATTAATATATATTATTTTTTTAAAATTTTAAAATTATTTAATTTAAATAAAAATAAAAATTATATATTAGAAATTAATATAAACGAAAAATTAATATAAATAGCTAAATAATATAAATTAAAAGTTAGTACTAATTAAGAATTAATATAAATAATAATTGCGAGATTTATTAATAATAAGAAATTATATATATTTAAATAATTAGAGGTCTTTTAAATAAATCTAGATTATTATAAAATTGTAAGGGTTTTATATTATTTATTATTTCAATAATAATAATTATTACCTAATATTTATATTAAGTAAGATATGTAAAAGTTACGAAATTAAATTAAGATTATATAAATATTTAAATATTTAAATACTTACTAAATTCGAATTATATAAATAAGTTACTGATATAAAAATATATTAATACCAGAAAAACATTAGTATAAAAATAATTAATATAAAAGTTAAGTTAGTACTAAAATATTATTAATATAAATAATTTACTAGTATTATAAAAATAATTATATTAGAAAATAATTAGTATAAATGCATAATTAGTAAAAAGAAATAACTAGTGCTTATTTCTTAGTAATTCCTCTCAATAATTACTCTCTTGAAGCTATACTTCTTGGCCATTGCTTAATTGCATAAATCGCGAGAATATTGGGCTATAGCCAGGCCCGAGGGCAATCTATAGCTAAGTAGCTCGTTCATGCACGAGACCCCTTTAAACACGAGGTATGGGCCACTCCGGTATCTCTATTAGTGTATATAATCAAGAAAATAGTATTATTAGGGGGGTAAATACCGACGAAAGAGTCCTGGTCTAAGGCATAGCGTAATTATATTAATGCCCGCATTGCGTAAGTTACCCAAGGAAGGAACGCAATAGCAGAATCAAAGCCGCGATCTTGAGGATATCGAATATATCACTCTCCCTTTATTTTCTCCCTCCCCCGAAGGCCTATTCTAGCATTATCTTCTTTAGTCTTTACTTATAACTAGTCTCTACTTCCTTGGTTTTACCTGGTGATCTTTACATATCTCATTTTGGCGATATTAAAAGACACATAGTGCATGCTTTGAGAGATATCGAAAAAGGCAAAGAGATTACGAAACTATAGCAATTGGCTCCTCAAGAGGAAGGGCTAAAAAAAAAGCTGAAACCCCGCCCGTTTACCGGAGGCCACATAATCGATTAGGGAAATGTTTCCTTTTGTTCCTGTAACCAGCTTTAACGAGACACACTAGACGGAGAAAATGCTCCGTATATGTGTGTAACATGAACAAGCGCGAAGAGCATTCCGCAAAGTTTGGCATCCCGCGTCATTTTGCAGGTCGTGTGAGCGAAGCCAACTTCGTCTGGTTGGACAGCGCTCCCCCATAACGCTAAGTAATCAAGCCCCGATATCTGCCAACCTCGCTACCCTTCTCCTTCGACACCACCGCATGTTTATTGTTCTCTGCCAGCCGCATCCTCATCCTTTCAACCGCCTAGCTAGATTGGTATTCTCTAAGTCTTTCATAACTTACCAACATAGACAGGCCAGACTTCTGTCTTTCCGAAACAACTACAAGCGTTCTGCTCGCGGGCAGCTTTGTAAGAAACCCTCGAAATTTGCAGTACCTATTTCTAACATCGGGCAGCGCCCAGATCTTCCCACCTCCTAGCTGGATTAGTATTGAGCTATTCTCTTGGCCTTTCATACCGACATATAGTATTGGATGTGGTCTTTGTAAGTTCTTAACCTCCTCTCCCGCTCTTAATTTGTGACCTTTCGTTAGATTTCCTATATAATATATCTGCATCGGTATTACTCCTCCAAGTATTGACGAAAACTGCAGACATGTAGTCAATCGCGCGGCTTCGAGTTTGCCGTTCTGAGCTACCGCCCTGACTTTGTCAGTCGTTTCGCAGCGAAATATCAGCATCATACCTATCACATAGTGCACCATGAGACTTCTCAATACTGCAACTTTGGAGTTTGAGGAGTTGTTTGGAGATAAAGCATTAAAATATGCCATCCTCTCGCATAGATGGGAGACTGGAGAAGTTGCATTTGAGGAATTCCAGTCTCCCAGAGCTCGCAAGAAGAAAGGCTCTGACTCGGATATAAACTTCGTTCGAGACCAATTTTTACCCCTTTTCTTAGATATTTTCACAATAAGAATTGTACAGGTACAGCTGATACGCACTGTCGCCATTGTTGCTAAGGCCCTGTTTCGCTCCGCATTCAGGATCATTGTAAATGAAGACAGCGGTGGCCCCATAAGATTTGACAAACTCAAAATTGTGGGATCCACACTCTATGATTACTATAACCTAACATCTATCGAATAAACGTATCATTAGCAACATTATTCTCACTTTGAACAGGACTACGGGTAGACTCACAATTTCAAAAACTGAATCGCAAGGACTCCCGTAGCAGTGCTTCCACTAAGTCAAGGTCGGGAAATGAGACACCCATTAGTAGTTGCCGGTAGAGGCAGTTGCAAAGATTTATAGAAATACAGCCAATGTGATTCGTACACCCAGCGAAATGGCGTGTCCTCTTCCCCATGACCTAGTCTTCCTCCGTACTCATTTCGTCACCTTCGCGATCAAAACACGCTTCCATCCACTCATTCTCTTTCTTCAGTTCCTCCTCTTTTAACTGATCCATCTTTTCCATTCTTGCTATCAGTAACTGGGCTATTAGCTCATAATCTTGAACTTTTTCTGCTTGGATCATTTCTTCTTCCCCCTGAGTCTCGACTTTTGCCCCATTGTCTAGCATCAGCTTTATTATACTCAGATCCCCGCCCCGCACTGCAGAATCCAGTATTGAGTCATGCATGATGCACCCCTCTACATTAACATCCGCCCCGTTCATGAGTAGTAGTTTTGCAATATTCTCCCTTCTTCCCTCGCATGCTGCTTCTATCGGAAACCAACAGGAGCCGTCTTCGTTGACATCTGCACCTGCATCTAGCAATAATTTGACTGTAGTCTCGTTTCCTTTCCAACAAGCTGCCACCAAGGCTTTCGAAAAATCGTAACCGGAAGGAGTTGTCTCGACTAGTCGTTCAAGCACGGTTTCCAGGTTAAGGTCGGCTGCGTGGTAAAGGGCACAGTCTGCTTGGGAATTCCAAGTTTTCCGCCAGGATTCCGAAATCAGACACCGACAAAGCAGATTTACAGGTGTATTTCCCATAGTTTCACAAGTACCGACGTGATGGGGCCAATATCGACTCGCATATAATTCAAGGGGATAGAGCCTTTCAAGATCCCAATGAGTAGGGGTATTATATTCACAGCGTTCCCTAACAAAGTCAATGTACAGCAAGCAGCTCTCAGCGATAAGCCGCTGAGAAGAGAATTTTTCGATCCGAAAGACTTCCGTTAGTCGCGGGCCCTTATGGTCGGATAATAGGTATTCTTGGATTGAAAAATGAGCAATTTTCACCACTTCACGGTTCAGCCACTTCTCGTCGGGAGACGAGTAGGTAAGATGGTCTTCGTGATATGTGCGGACAAGACCAGATAAGAGTTGGAGAATGTCTGTAGGTGACTCCAATCGGTCATCTCCATCAACTGCAGGGTCGCTATTGGGGTCGATGATCGAGGCTTCAGCAAGCTCTTTGACCGAGAGTGGTCGTTGGGAGAACATCAACCACCTGAGGGCAGACACCGCTCTAAAATGATCTTCCTCGCCGATATTGTCCAGAATGCGTTGGTAAGATTTCTCCAGAGTTTTCGGCAATGTCGCCAAAGCTTGCCGGATCTCGTTACGGGTCTTGCACTTATTCAGCTTCTCTATCTGGCAGGAAACCCACTGAAAGCTAGGAAAAGTAAGTAAAGATATTCTTATTAGAACCAGCGGGTAATTCAAACCTGCCATTGGACCTTGATACCAACGATGTCTCGATATCTTCGATCTTCTGCGTCCAAGATCTCAACTTATTATCATTCGCCATTCGAGACTTTACGTAAAGTCTAATGTCTTCGTCCACAGCAGAGCTTTGAATAGGTACGACACTTAGCTTTGTGAGTTTCGACAAAATCTTTTCAATATCCACTGCTGGTCGACTGGTTGCTATTATCTGCAGCTTCGGGATTGACCACTTCCCGACGTCTACCAAAATCTCATAAAGCTGGTCGCGCATGCCGCTGCTCGCTGGACACTCATCAATAGCATCTAGTATAAGATAAAACTGAGCGGAGACCTGAACGACAGATCTAAAGACCAATATCAAGGCTTCTAATGGCGGTTCATCCTTTCTGTAACTTTCACGCAGCTTTCGAAGAGCATCGGGAACGTCGGGTGTCTGCGAGACAAGTTGGGCAATAATAGATCGCAAGAAATTGGTGGGTTTTTGCTTCTCGCTATCCGAGAAAGAGAAGTAGTAGTATGCAAGATAAGAACTTTGGGTCAAATCTGCTGAGCAATGAGCCTTCGTCTCCTCGATGATTGTCGAACTAAACTGATCAGCCAAGAAGTCTATACTGAAGAGGAGTGGTACCAGAGCACGCTCTTCCCACACCCTGTACTTCCAGATAGCCACAAAACTGAACCAGGGTCACATAACCATTTCTTATAAGCGTCACCTTTGATGAACCAGTTCCCCGTCGTGCTTTCACGCATTTTCTGATTCATGGAATGGTCTGAAAGGGGGTTCGTGTTCGATAACCAACCAATAAGAGATTCTCGGGTCGCGTCTAAACTCCATATTAGCATCTAGTTGCTAGAAAAATCTGATCGTTGACTGACCTTTTTGAGCTTCTTCTTGTTCCATCTTCTGAGCCATAAAAGTTGTGTGAACTTCCTCCAAGGTAGCCTCAGCTCTACTAAAATACGCTCTGGCTTCTTCGCGTTGCTCTCTAGAACTTTTGGCCAAAGATTCCATCTGGTCCTCAGTATTTTGCACCAAAATCAAAATCTCCCCTGTCTTCCTCGAGAACTTCTTGATCTCTCTCATCATCGCGCTGCTTTCCGTTAACAATAATATGCGGCATGCAGAGACACCGACTCCTCTGAAATGCACTCGGGTCTACTCACTGCTGATCAACCTGCAAAATCACCTCAAATAAATCCCTCTCGTCCTTGAGTCGCTCTATACACCGCTTGAATTTGTCGTCAAAGTGGCTTCCTATAATATATTGCCGGACGAAATTCGTATTCTCCAAGTGCTCTCGGATGCATTGAAGGACTAGTTTGCATTCGCGTGCTGGCTGCTCGAGCGATTTCAGCAGAGCTGCACGAGACTCGTCGTGCTCGCTGTATGTCAAGGAATATTCCAGTGATTCGTATACGCCTTTAAATCCACTTGCCAGCGAGAGCAAGCGATTCAGGTCGTGCTTGTTGTGGGCGGACGGACCAACTTTCTTTAACACTGTCTGCGTTATCTGGATAATGGCAATGATGCTTGCTGCTAGGCCCATAGCAGATAACGGTTCCATGGCGTTAGGATGCGTTGGCTATAGACAGAGACGAGGCTTAGGGTGATTTTGATAGCGAGATGGATTCGATATTCACGGATTGTGCTAAATGCCAGGAAGAGCCTTTTTTGGAGGAAGATTCAGTTCGAAATGGAAATAGCCATTGCTCAAATTAATATCGAAGGATTAGAGTAAAATAAATGGCGAAGGGTAGATCAGCTGGAAGCGCTAAAAAGATAGATGAGACTCTAGCGAGGGCGGTTGTGCAGCCCTCACGGCCTGCCGAGGTCTCGACCTGTTTCGTTTTATTTTGTCTCGTCTCAGTCATTGGCACGGGTAAGACAAGACAAGCGCCACAAACCTCTTATTGGATTATTGTACGAGACCTACATGTTGTGCGTTGTGTGTGAGGCTATCTTTGGAATGCTTCCAGACCCCTCTATTCGTCGAATCATCGTTCATTTCTACCTTACCCCAAGAACTACCTGCGTCTTCTCACTAGCTTCCTCCCGAGTTTCAACGTCTTTCCCTTGCCCAAGATCCCCACCGCATTGCCCCTCCTCTTCTCCGCTTCCAACCTCCACGCCTCTCTCTGCGCCCCCCGAAATCAGCAAAACGGCGCCAAGAGCTGCAACGCACTAAAGATATCCCGCTAACCGGTAGTGAGCAGGACAATAGAAATGTAGACCGCGTAGACGCCGGTGAGATTGATATTCGCTTCGTGCAGGGTGTTCAACTTGTGTATTCTGGTGGCGAAGATGAGGATGGAGAGGATGAATGTGGGTGTGCTTGGGCGGAGGTGTTGTGGAATTTCCGTTGTTGGGGAGCGAGCTTACGAGCCTGCGGACACGGGTCTGTGGAATAGGGCATTTTAGCGACCAACTTCCACTAAAGGAAAACTCCAACTTTTTAAAAGATGCTAGTACTCTTCTAATTATATTAAGAGAATAAACTATAGCTTCTTAATGATCGTGATGCTTACCTTTTATATTATTACACTTTGTGGTTATTTAATAGAATTGAATTCAATTGATTGCCTTTCAATTCGCGACGCCTGAAAAGTGCCCTGTAATCCACAGATCCATGTCCGCAGGCTCGTTAGTGAGGTGGACGGGTTGTACCGCAGGATTGCGATGGCGCAGAAGAAGGTTATCACGAGGAGAAGAATTTAGTATAGGAAGATGTAGAGTCTGGGGTACTTTTCCTGGCTTCTAATAGCATTTTCGTTTCTGGGAATTGGGAGGGAAGATGAAGTCGAAGAGGCCAGGACGGTGCTGAAGGTTCTAGGTTTGGGTAGTTCGGGAGGCGGAGGGTTGTGGCTTGATCTTGTGGTCTAATAGTCAGATTAGTAGAAACATTATTCGCATAAAGTCTCTTTATATCTTTCTATCGAGATATTAAATACTAGCCTTATTATCTTAAATACGTACTTACTCCCGTTAATCTAGCTTACTTAAAGTTTCTTAAATATAATTAAACTTAGTTATTAAAGAATAAAATTATATATTATAATAAATAAAATTATAATATTTATATATCTAATTAATTTTATACTAAAAGAATCTTCTTTTTTATAATAAATTTAAATAAGAAGATTTAAAATTTATATTAAACTCTTAATTAAAATATTATATATTAATAATTTTACTTTAAACTTGTTCTAAATAGCTCTAAATAATATTCTTTAATAAAAAACTTTTTATAAAAAAAATGATTTATAAATAAACTAAAATACTATTTTAATTTATATCTTTTATTTTAATTAAATATATAATATTACTAAAATATTTAATAACTTTATATATAAGTTCTTTTAATAAATATAATAAAAATTATTATTTAATATATAAAAATATATTAGTATATTTTAAATTAAATATTTATATTAATTAATTAAAAATATTAAAGAAATATATATATGGTTCTTTTATATAATAATTATAATTATTATAAATTAAATTAGCTTATAATATTCTTTATATTATAAATAAAAAATTAGCTAAAGTTTATAAAAGATTTCTTTTAATTATAAGAGAAATAGTATTACTTTTATAAGTTATTTATTAGAGCTATAAAGCTTTTTATAAGCTCTTTTAAGCCTTATTTCTATTTATAAAGCTCTTTTATTTTTATAAGCTTTCTTATATAAATATATAAGAACCCGAATTTTTAAAGGCTTATATTTAAATAATTATTAATTTCTAAAAGCTATTTTTTATTATTTTTTATAAAATACTTATAATATTTTTTTATTCTTATCTTTTTAAGTTCTTATTTATTTGATTTCTTATTATAGGCTTATATATGCCTTTAAAGATTATTTCTAGTAAATTTATTTTCAAGTCTTAATATTCTTATTTATTTTTTTTTTTTAAAAAAATCCCATATTAATAATTTGACTTTTATTTCTATTTTTAATATATAAAATATATAAAAAAGTATTTAAATTTAAAAGAAAGTTATTTTTAATTATAACTAGAATAATATTCTAAAAAGAAGAATTAATAAATATTTATAAATAGGGTTTTCTATTTATAGGCTATAGGCTTATTTATAAATTAATTTATAAATATTTCTTTATTTATAAGCTAGTTCATAGGTATTTATTTATTTATAAGTTCTTTTTCTTTATTTATAAATTCTTTTTCTTTAATTATAAGCTTCTTTTTCCTTTATATTTCTAAATATTAGCTAGCTATAAGCTAATAATATATTTTCTATAACTTTTATTTATATTTATATTTATATTCTTATTTTTCCTTTTTATACTTATTTATAAACTATTATATATTAGCCCTATTTCTTAGCTCTTTATAAGCTTTTATTAGATTTTTTTTCTATTACTTTTTTTTTATTACTTATTTTTTTATACTATTTCTTTTATAATTAAGCTTAAAGTTTTTTTTATTTATCTTAAGCTTACTATTATATTTTTGCTTTTATTTATAATTTCTTTAAGTTTACGAAATCTTATATCTTATATATTTATATTTATAGCTTTATTTTCTTTACTTATAAGATTTACTAGTTATATCTTTTTTATATAAACTCGCCTATAGCTTTATAATATTAGTTATATTTTTATATAAAATAGATTTTATAAATATAAAATTAATATTTATTCTTATAAAAAGAAAAGCTTATATTTAGAATAATATAGCTAATTTAAAAGAAAATTATTTATTAGAAAGCTTATAAAAAAGAGCCTGAATTTTAGTATTTCTATATAAAATAATTTATATAATAATATTTATTTTTTTCCCGGAAAATAGTATTAATATAAAAGGAGATTTAAATAAATAATTTCTTTAAATATAAAAAGAAAAACTAAAATAAAATAAAAGCTAGATTTAGGCTTTATATAATTATTTATATTTTATATAAAATTATTATTAAAGTAATATAAATATTTATCGGTTCACCAGTAATACATGATATCGTCACGTATTTGTAGAAGTGCTATTTGCATAAGGTTGGTAAAGTTGTTATTGTTCAGAAGTAAGGATTGCAATATTGTGGTATTGATATGCGATCCCCAAATCTGCTAAGCCTAATGGGAACTAGTCTACCGGTCGAGTCACGCCTGTAATGCGAGCTTATATGACTAGTCACATGACCAGGAAATTCGCAGTATAGCTATTCCGATACTGGAACCTCTCTAAAAACGCCAAAAACAGTGCTTCCCTCCCATCGCATACCAATTTCCTAATTGGGCCTAGTCCCAAATTCTCCCAAACGCTCAGTATGTCTATATATATTCTCCTGTCCAATATTCCTATCCAATATTCCTATTTCCCACCGGTATGTCCATTTTCCACCAGTATATCCATTTCTCCCATTCCCAGTATACCCATTCCCAGTATACCCATTCCCAGTATACCCATTCCCAGTATACCCATTCCCAGTATACCCATTCCCAGTATACCCATTCCCAGTATACCCATTCCCAGTATCCCTATTCGCAGTATACCTATTCGCATTCAACCCACTCCCGTTCGCTGTAAAGCTTGGAATTCGAAGCTAGCGGAGGTATAGGTGGACATACTACTTCCATTGGTTGGTTAAAGGGCATGGAATTGTCCAAATCCGGTACTAGGGATCGAACAAAGAGGTAAAGGAGGTGAAACGAGGGTATTGAAGGTATGAACGTCTTCTACTGACGGTTCGGTGGTATTCGCAAGAGGAATAGCCAGTTGGTTGCGTTCGTCAATTTCCACTGGAATAGCTGATTCGTTGGTTTCTATTAGCAAAGCTTCAATTGGAAGAGCTTCGAAACTAGCCATAAAACGGTCAAAATCGACGTCCTTGTCAGTCGATAGTAGACGGTATTCCTCCTTTAGTTATTCCCTGAGCTCCTTCAGGTGGTACTGTCCAAGCCGATTGAAGTCCTTAGCTGTAAAGTAACTGAAATCCTCGTAAAAGAAGAACCAGGTATCGTAGCCATAGCTATTGCAATCGCATTCCATATACTCGTATAGCTTAGCACTCGTATACTCTTGGATCTCACTATCCGTAGCAATCCTTAGGTCAATTGGACTTCTCCACTTCTGAATCTGCTCCCTCCCATATTGCTGATTCTATATATCCCAGTCTATACTCAACCTCCAGTACTAAGCCCCCCCCTAATATGTATATGGTTCGAAGCAGGAGGGGTTCGAAGGTGGGGTGGTTCGTAGAAGGGGTGGTTTATGGAAAGGTTCGTAAATATTTCGTCCGTAACGAGAAATTTAGAAAGTGAAATATTGCGATTCCGAGGGCTTGAGGGTTCTGAAGCTCGAGGGGCTTAACTTGAAGGTGAAATTGAAGTGCTTCAAGGGTATTCCAGAGGGTGGAGTTCCAGAGGGTGGGGTAGTATTCGACAGGCTCCCAAAGGTAAGGGATCGTCGATTCCGGATAGAGGGTTGTTCTAGTGGTTTATAGAGGGTATTCGGTACGAAAGAGCGATTGAATAAGGGTTGCTCTGGCGGTTTGCAGAGGGTGTTCGGCCTTGCAAAAGAGCGATTTTGACGGTTTCCCTAGTGGTTTGCAGAGGGTATTCGGCTTTGCAAACGGGTAATTAAATGGGGCTCTGGTGGTTCGCAGGTTGCGAAAGAGTAATTGAATAAAGGTTACTCTAGTGGTTTGCAAGGTTTAGGAGTTTGTAACCTTGCAAAGGAGCGATTGAGGGGTTGCTCTGGTGGTTTGCAGTGGGCGTTTGGCCTTGCAAAAGAGCGATTGAATAAGGATTACTCTGGTAGTTTGCAGAGGGTACTCGGCGAAAGAGCGATATTAATATAAGAGATAGTCAAATGGCTGACCGCTTATTGATTGGCAAGAACTAGAGTCTTCTCCCTTAGGCTACCGGATGCTTCATAGAGTTGACGAGTAATTCCCCCCTTCGATGGAGTGGTTATCGGTCCTTGGCAAGAGCTAGCTGTTTTCTCCCTTAGGCCACCGGATGCTTTATAGAGTTAACAGGTAATTCCCCCCTTTAATATAGTTAGATCAATATTACTAAGGGCCACCGGATACCGCTTTTAGCATAACTGTTCTATCTCTGATCTATAAGTACTAACTAATTAGTATTGGTTTACTAGTAATATATAGTACTATTATATATTTGTGGAAGTACTATTTGTATAAGGTTAGTAAAGTTATTATTATTCAGAAGTAAGGATTGCAATATTATAGTATTAATATATAATTCCTAAATCTGCTAAGCCTAATAGGAACTAGTCTACCGGTCGAGTTATACCTGTAATACGAGCTTATATAACTAGTTATATAACCAGAAAATTCGCAGTATAGCTATTCCAATAATATTTAAGGTTTTCAAATATCTAATTTCTTTATAAGTTTTAATCTATTATATTATTTCTCTTTTTTGCTTTTTACTAAAAAGTTTCTTATATATTTCTAGTATAAAAATATTTTAAAAAACCGATTTAAGTTTTTAAATAAAATTAATATATTTTATTTATTTTATTAGAATTTAATATTAATAATCTCTTTTTTTTATATAACTATTTTTTCTAAAATCTTTTTAATTTTATATTTTTTAATTTTATTAATAAGTTCTAACTTTAATTAAAAGTCGAATATATATTATAATAATAATAAGTTTATTATTATTAATATAATTACTAAAAATAAAATATATTATAAATTTCTAAAAATATATGAAGCTTATAATTATAAGAATTAATTACTTTAATTATTATATATTTTATATTTTTAGAATTAAACTTCTTTAATAATTACTTTATATAAATATTTTTTAAGTTTAATTAAATTTTATTTCTAATTTTAAAGCTAAGTATTTATTATTAATATAATATATTAAAATATATATTATATATTTCTTTTAAAAGAATTAATAAATTATAAAATAAAGCTTAATATAATAATAGAAATAAAATAATAAAATAAAACTTAAATATTAATAATTTTAATATCTTAAGAATTTAAAGCTAAAATAGGAAATAAGATATAATAGTAAATAAATAAATATAGCTAAAATTACTAAAATACCGAGTTTTAAAATCCGAGCTTAATTTGAATTATAACTTAAAATCTTAACTAAAACTAATTTCTTTAGCTAAAACTAATTATATAATACTAATTAATATTCCTAAAATAATTAAAATATAATATAATTATATAAAAAAATATTATTTTTTATAAATTTATATTTAATTTTATTTTAAGTTATTAAAATAAAGCTTAAATTATTATATATTTCTAGAAAAGCTTTAGCTTTTTTAAAACTATAGAAATTATATTTCCATTTAAAAATAGATTATAAAATATATAGCTTTTGATTTTTAATATAAGTTATATTTCTTATAATTTTTATTTTTACTTATTACTTTTAAATAATTTATATAAAAAGACTTTATAAGAATATTAATTATTAAAAATACTAAAAAGCTTTAAAGAAGTTAAAATAATTTAATTTAAGTTTTAAATATAAAAAAATAAATTAAAGAAAGAAATAAAGCTTATATTAAAATTATATAAATTATATGAAATTATATTTTCTAATTAAATAAAAGACTTTATATATTTGGCTAAATACTAGAAACTATATAGAATAATACTTCTAGTTTTAAAAAAGAATATTAATTAGTTTTTTTATTAAAATTAGTTTTCTTATTAAAATTAATTCTTAGAAATTAATTATATTTATAAGTATTACTTTAAAGCTTATTTATTTTAATTATTTATATATTATTCTATTATTATATATCTTATATAAATATAAGAAATAAAAGAATTAATAAGTTATTTTAAATCTTATTTTTAATTAAAAGAATTTAAGTTTTTATATTATTATTATTATTATTATTATTAAATCCAGTTTTATAATTCGGGTTATATAACTTGAATTATAATATTAAATTTAATTAAAATACTTATAATAGCTTAAGTTTAATTATTGAAACTACGACTTTTAAAGAATTATTTATATAGGCCAAATATTAAAAGAAAAAAAAAAGAAGAAAAAAAGCTAGCTAAAAGAAAAGTAATAAGCTTATATAATTATATTATAAGATAAGACTTTTTAGCTTAAAAATAAGCCTATAAGCTATATATTTAATTTAAAGGCTAACTATTATATTATATATTTCTAATAAACTAATAATTTTTTAAAGCTTATTAATAATATTTAATATTATAATTAATAATTTTAATATAACTAATTTAAAGAATACTTTAATAAAATTTATATTAAAATTATTATAATAAGAAGTAAAAGGAAATACAATATATAACAAGAATTCGACTGGGTGTATTCATGAATCGAGCAGGCGTCGTGCGGGTAAAGTGTGTATTGAATTGCTTAAAGTCCACTTCGTGAGAAGGAAGAAGGCTAAATACAAAAAAGGAGAGAGGAGCTAAGGGATCACGTGAGAACATGTAATCATGCCAACTGCCAGCGCAATCCCCACCACAATAGTGGTAATCTTCTAGCTACGAGAGCAGCCTCTGTGACCCTGGCAGCGGGGATTATCAGGTGCGACCCACTAGCGCGAGAGCCCTTATGACTAAAGCCCGATCGATCCCATAGCAATAAAGCATTTTCTTCTCTCTTGTCTTCAATCCTGATAGTCGGACCGCTATATGGAAGAATATTTGCAGGAAAGCATACACTCGCTGCGTGCAGGAGAAACATGAGGTTAAAGTGACGCTTTATGCTCAGAAGACAAGATGTAGTAAACTTATATCTTTCAATTCTCTCTTCCCCGATCAGAAGCCCAGGAAGTATAAAGACACTTTAACAAGACTGCACGATCGTGTCATTCGTTTCAATCATCTAATGTATGCATGCTAAAGACCAAAAACTCCTCACCCCTGCCCAACCCCGTAAGAAGCGCCCCTCTTCCTACACTGCTTCCTCTCGTGATCATCGCGATTCCTTGCCTGCGCATACCTCGCCCCACAATGGAATCGACAAAAGTGAGGTTTCCGTGCAAGCATCCCCGACAGTGAACCCGTGACTGGGCCAGATTCCTGTGGCAGGCCATCACCTCCACCGGAGCCATTGACAGGTTGGTGCTTATCGTCAACATGACGATTCTTGTTTCCAACTGAGGAAAGGACCAAGCCGCACACCTTGCATGTTCGATCTTCCGGGGGTGGCTTCTTCCGGATCCTATTTGCATGTTTTCTAGGTCGGGGAATAGATATAGCTTTCAGATGCGGTGACGGCTCTTGAGATATTGGGGACTTGCTTTGCGGGACATAGATACTTGATACAGGCGACCAGGCCTGTGGCGGTGAAAATGCTGTCTCGCCATCTGCGTTCGGCTGTACTGGAGACTTATGTTGAGTCATGCTTCCGCTGGTTAAAGGAGTCGTACTGGTGCTGGTAGACGTCCGCGCTGTTTGCTGTGAGACGGGTGTCGAGATTTCACCAATGGGGGAAATGTTGATTTTTTGCAAGGAAGATGACAATTCTCTGAGATCTGTCGCAATTGACGAATTGGGATTGTCATCGATGCAGCTCGTCACGGATGCGAAGGTAGGCTGCAGGCCATGATATACAGTCATGTAAGTGAGACTCTTCCGCACGGTCCAATACTTCAGGGCCTTTTTCAAAGAGACAGAACCAGTCTCAATGATTTTGCGCATCGATGGAGCATCCCATACCTGATGAAAAGGCCTGGATGACAATGACTATCCAGAGAGAGTCAGTATGTCATTTAAAATAAACACCTTATGGCTTACCTTGTAGTACATGAAATCATCAAGACCGGTCACTGTACGAATACTTCCAGCTCGAATCCTACTTCTTGCCTCTTCAACAAAGGATGGGAAGCTACACCAGAACGGAGACTCAAGTTGCATAGGAGCAACATAAGCCGCGTCAATCAAGGAAGAGAATTGTCCAGGAGACTGCAAGACATCTTCTTGCATGGAAAAGCCTTGAAATACTGCGCTCTATGTTAAAATAAAACCATGTATGCAGAAAAGAATTCACGTACCAAGAAGACATGCAATAAAGAAACAAAATATTGCTCCGAATCTAAGATAGGCCGCAATTGTGCATGATAGACTTGTTTTCTGGGTCTCTGGTATAGGAACCGGATCTTCATCTGAAAGTTGAGCTTCAGGTCGGTGGTGTTCACTTGCTCCATTAGAAACAGGGCTATCGCTGTCCTGCTCAGCTCCAGGTATTTCTTGAAAAACAGCACTATCGGCTGTCGACGAGGAATTAGTCATTTCGGCAAATTCTCTGGTAAAAGCACGGAGGAAATTTATGTCCTTTCCAAAATCGTCAATATCTCCCTCAGTAGGATGCATCTCTTGGTCCCAGAGGCAAAAGACAAGTTCATCAAATACGCTTCTGAGAGACTCCTCGACAGCAAGGCGTCTCCACCTTCGAAGATCGAGAAGGAAAGCATCATATTCCCCGAATTCTTCGACAGAGCAAGTCTTGCGCATCGCATTTGCCACAAGAAGTAGGCTAATAACCTGCCGAAAATCTGACGGAGCGCGATCTTTTCGCAGCCGCCGCATAGCTGATATGCCCATCTTCCAAAGTGTGCGGTAATCTTGGAGCTGGTCGCCCAGGTTTTGAAAGCCATCAGATGCTTTGGTGTCCCGACTTGCTTCCAAGAAGGAGTTGTGCTCGATTCTGAGATTTTCGCGCAGAACCTGCATCATTGTAGCAGAAGGTCCGTTGATATCATGACTAGTCAACTTCCTGGGTCCCTTAAGTATCGCTTGTGCTTCCTCCAGGACGCCCTTTCGCAGGGCGAGGCACAGTGGAGCCCGCAAATTGCTTAGGTCGGCGATGTTGCACCGCCCTATCAGATATCGAGCTATCTCCAGATTCCCGTTCATGATGGCTGTCTGGAATGGCCTTTCCATGAAGCAAGGCCCATCGTTTGGGTCGACCCCATAGCAGATCAATCGTTGGACAAGGCCTAGGTCACCGGCCATCACTGCCTCTCTCATTGGAAAGTCGGCTGAGATCAGTAATCTTGCGGTCTCAAAATCCTCCTGTCGAAGTGCTAACTCTACTGATCGCTGTTCGAACCCAGAATATCCATTCCCAGCGAGAAGTTTCTTGGCTAATGTGTCAAAGTTGTTGGAGACAGCGATAAGAACTTTGTTGGCATTTTCAATACTGACACGTTGTTGGTATCGTTGTTCCTCGTCAGGGGTCATGAGTCGAAAGGTGACTGGCGGCGGGTCCAGTACCCACAACCATTCACAATCGTAGCCATCCCGTAGCCGGGGTTGGGAATCAAAAAGATAGCCGGAGAACCTGGTTTTCTCTTTGGCTGCCTTCTCTTTAGCTGGCTCTTCCTCAGCCGCATCGAACGCCCTATCGAGTGTATCTAGGTCTCTCTCAAAAGCAACTTGTTGTATATGCTCCAGTGAGACATGGAGAGGATTTTGTCCTCGTATAACTCCTCGAAGCCGAATGTGCCCAGAAATTTGGCAATGTCCCCGCTCCGGAGGAAGGCGTAGGCAAAGAGTTTGAGTTCTTCGACGACTTGATCATTCGGCGAGACATGCAGTTGTTTGTCGCGTATGTATTGATCCAGCATCTCATAGTTCTCAAGGACTTTCTGAAGGCTGAGAATTGTCTCGCTCTTACTCTTGTAGATGTTCGGACATGCTTCACGGATCGCGTTGCGGAGGGTTGGACTCCAGATGTCGATGCAGTCATCGGCCAGCTTATCAGGATGCCATGCGGTGAAGCTGATCTCTCTGGCAGAGGCTGACCAGTACCTGTCGGGCAGCTGTTTGATACTACCGTCGCTGGTTGAGATATACCAACCGTCGTAGGGTCTTTAGAGGATATCAGCATGATATTGTTCTGAAATACTAGCAGAGAACCCACTCTCGCGACGGCCTATACTGGAAAGGCTTAGCATTTTTAAAATGCCATTGGTCATCTGTGGATATTTCGTCAAAGTTCATAGGTGGCGGATTCTGCATCGTGTCTTTGACGGAGGGAAATAATCGTGGGATAGTTGAAGATTGGGTTCCTGCGAGGATCGTGAGGCTGAGCGTCGACAGGCGCGCGAATCTGCCTTGTGGGGAGCGTGCGATGAGAATTAGTTTGATGAGGGTGACAACAGACGATGTTAGAACAGCCGGGAAGGTGATTGAGAAGAAAAGAGAGGAATAATACGACGATGAGGAAAGGAAAGAGACGAAGGAGGGGAGAGATTCGGGGGATATATCCTGGGCGCAAACAACGCAATGCTGGCCCAGGAGCCATGCCTGCCCCTTCCCAGGTCGTCGCACGAAGCTGCCGTGGGAGAGGATTCCTAGATTGCGCAGCGCTGTGGCATTGTCGACATCGGCCAGTGCCGTGTGTTGGGCAAGCCCAGGACGACGAGCACATCGCTGGTTGGCCTGGCCACCGCTGCTGGGTGACGTGACCGGCTAGGCGTGGAGGTGTTGGTGGTGTTCCTAGAAAATTGGGTCCCCACCCGGGAACAATGCTGGACGTCTCGCTTTTCTAGGAATACGCGAGTGAGGCTGAAGGCTGCGCTGCGAGGGAACAGGGGACGGCCATTCCCCATCAACCTACCAGCGAAGGGGCGACAGTGACAGAGGCGGACGTGGAGTGATGGGAGGTGGAGGGGAGGTGGAGGAGGAAGTGAGGCACGGCCTGATGAAGAACCTCACCCACTCAGATCCAGAGCACGAGGTCGTGCGACCTCCTAGGAATCTAACTCCCAACTCCCACCGCTCCGCCCTCCGCCCTCCCTCCCGCGGACGGTCACTCTCACCATCGACGGCAGAAGACAAAGCTATTGTTTGATTGTTTTGTCCTCGCGTGCCACTCCAGTGGATAGGTCTTTGTCTCGGTATCCATTGTACTAACTGCATTATTCACAGTCTTAACTTTTACACATCGTGAACTACGAGTACCATAGGATTAGGCTGCACACAAGAATAACACGGTCGCATTACAGTACGTTTTCGTTATGTGTGTCGTTCTTCCAACCCTGAACTGCCACCACCTGGAGAGCTTGTCCTCTGTTCCTCACCGCCTCAAGTCACCCCTTTACGAGTAGCGAATGGCCTCCTCGTCTCCCGCACTTCCCGCAGGAGGGCCAGGATTGGTGCAGCGCCCTGGAAAATAACCTTAGCCATCAGCCACAACCACCAAGCCAAAAGACCTAGGAATCCGACACACCTCGCCCCACCATCTCCCATCCCACCACTCTGGAAAAGAAAGGGGTTCGCTCACGGTAGCGGCGCATGCCATTCTGGGCGCCCACCCATACCGCAGCCACTCCAAGCACCGTCCCCAAGATACCGAAGGTGATCGCCATGATGGAATCCTTGCTCCAGCCCGGCTGGTCGTTGAAGATACTGGCGATTCCGGTGACGTTAGAGGCCTTGACATTGACGACGATGGCGTCACCAAAGGCGTCGGCGACTGCAGTTGCACATGTCAGCTCAGCGACAAGGTGACTTTGGATAATTGGCGAAGTGTGATGGATTGCGATGTGACATCTGAGATGGGAAGACGACGTCCCTCTAGACATTGGGAGTTGAAACGTGAGACGGAGACGGAGAGACTCGCCAGTTTGGTTACACAGGAGCTTCATGCTGGACGGTTTGATGGAATTGATCAGGTCAACACCTCTCTTGATGAGGTTGATCAACCCAATTGATCGTCGGATTTTTCTTCTTTTTTTGCGCGTTGTGAAATTCGAAAGGTCGACAAGGAAAGGTTGACAGTTCTCCGATTCCATCAGACCTGTCGTGCCATTAAGTAGCTGGTTGTCGTCGTGGATCTTAGCATTCTAGGAATCCTCACAGCGGCCTGACGTTCGAGCCCCGCGAGCTCGAAGGAAGTTTCATTATTAACCAAGCAGCTCATCGGGTCATGGCCAGCGGAGGAGTATTGCAAGAACATCCTAGGTAAACTCTCAACCGGAGAAAAAAAGCCAGCAGTCGACCGCCGTCATGCTCTAGGAATTCTCGGACATTCGAAGCCCGCGAGCTCGAGCTCGAAGCAAGGCTTATTATTACCCAGATAGGAAAGACTCTCAACCAGGTGGTGAGAAAGCCGCCGATTCGCTCCTGTGCACATTTAAAGGTAAAAAATAAGTAACCTAGCTAGTTGTGAGCTGAAGGTCTCGCTTGTCTAGGAATACAGCCATATGCAAATCAAAGTCGCATTGCTAAGCGAGGCGCAATGAACGCGAAAACGCCAAACTGACGACGCAAAGCTCTCTCGACTGTACCGCTAATTGTTAGTAAAACCCTTGGGTTTTATTATATTATGAAAGGGGGCGGTAGTGCGATTGATTTGAGCTACTATAGCCCTATATCAGGCTTATACTTATAAAGTTATTTAACGAGCAAAAATGCAATTTTCTACCCTCGCACCTCGCCCAGCCCCTTCTTAATCACTCCACAACCACGCTTTTGAACCAAGTCTCATATACCGTTTTATGTGGTTTATAAGGCTATAGTCTTACATTAAAGGGAGTTTAATTCTATGAAATAGGTGTAGAAACCAATAATATAATAACTTAAATTATATAAGTCCCCTCTTACTCTCTATATAAGGAGGAGTCTTTTAATAAAGAATTCGTGACATAGCTATTGAATTATTAAGATTTCGCACTAAAATTCACTATAATTTAAGCTTAAATGCCTGCCATTTCTCTAATTATAGAATTAATATGTCTCTAGCTTATAAGTCCTTATTAAAGAGGGAAGTACTAAACGCCCCAATCAATTTGAGCCCATAATGGCTTTAATTAAGGCTATTCCTATAAGGAGGTCGTAGAAATTGGGTTTCTGGCTGATGCTTTTGCGCTCTCGCTTAGAAAATGCGATTTTGACAATTGATTGGCATATGGGGTGCTCCCCCCCCCCCCCCGCCCTAAATAAACGTAATAGTGGGCCCCCGCAAAACCAGCCTGGCACGGTCCAGTTGCCATACAAAAAAAACCCTGCACTTTGACCCACTGTTACATTTAATTGGGGGGGGGGGGGGGAGTAAGGTTTTGGGGCACCAGGTTGGCTCCTTGCCACCCGCGCGAAACGAGCGGCGGCGGCTACAGCCGCATGCGAAACAGCCTTCGGAAATGGATTTTTTTTTTAGCGAGGAGCACCACCAGGACACCAAAACGTGTTTTGCGCAATAGAGGGCCTGAATTGGTCCCCTTGAATTCAAGTAGTAGGGAGCCGGATTTGGACCCCTTCAATTCTATAAAAAAAATATAAAAAAATAGAATGCTGAGCTCTGTTGGCCCCTTTGTAGTGCCACTTGTTCCTCACGATGTGCCATTCTACTTACTCAAGTAGTTCTTGTTCTTTCCACAAGACTAGACAAGGGTTTCTTGCTTGAGGAATCACTAAACCCCTGCTAGCGCTTGCAGCTCCATTCTGGCAATAAGCCTCCCGAATAGTCAACTACATCAGCCGACAGCTCGATGTTTCGAACGGGAAGATAGGAATATTGTCACTCGCATAACTTGTGGCGGGTGATAGTGGCGCCCTGAAGATTGCCAGATACGCCGCCAAGGTATCACCGTGCAGGAAAAGAATGTTTCTGCGAAACAGCGACCCCCTGTGCTGAGCGGCATATACCGATTCAGGGGAAACCCAAAACGGTGGGCACCTTTCTTATTATCGAGTCCTCTCTCTGAACAATTTTCAAACTTTCCAAAATTCACTCTGTCAAGCTTTCCCCCTTTCGCCATGAAATATGGCACTCTATCAATCTTTGAGCGTTGACGACAATGAAATTCGGCTCCTGAAGTTGCACTTGGGGGTAGCTGACGATCCATTGAGATGCACACTTTTACAAGTCTCGCTCCATCTTCATTACAAATACGAATACAGAGACTGGGGCACCGATCACGAATCCTTCACTCCGGGCGTGGAATTGGAGTCATGTGATGATCACCATCTACCATACGAAGCACTGTCGTACGAATGGGGTGCCGAGCCTTATGAGAGTCCTATCGCAGTCAATGACATTCCTTGGAAAATATCCTCGAACCTCTCTTCAGCTCTGTACCAGTTCAGATACCCTGATCGAGATAGAATACTATGGACCGATGCTCTATGCATTAACCAGGTGGACAGCGATGAAAAGAACGGCCAAATTCCTCTCATGACAGCAATCTACCAACAGGCACAACGAGTTCTCATTTGGCTCGGCGAAGAAGGACATGACAGCGACTTAGCCTTTGACACGCTCAATAAACTTGGAGGTGTTGAGAAACAATTCTCGGTCACTAAAGCACGTGGCATGGTTTCAGCAGGGCCACATTTCGATCCTTTCCGTCATCCATGGCCATACCCATACAGGGAGGAACTCGCTGTCCACAGACTACCAGACTTGACAAGATTCCAGGGACCAGAGTGGGTACAGGAAATGTTCATAGCGAACAGCGTTCTTGCCGATGAACTGGGTCTAGACAGCCCCAACAGCCTCAATTCCCGTCAATGGAGAGCCCTGGAGCACCTTTTTACGGAAAGGACATGGTGGAAGCGGGTTTGGATCATCCAGGAAGTGGCTTTTGCTCGAGATGCAATTGTGCATTGCGGCTCGAAGTCCATGCATTGGGCAACTCTCCATGATTTGTGGAGGCAAGAGTGTTGCCAGAGGAATGCCCGTTTGCATTATCTCCTGGGTGTCAGCGCGATTCCATTGGATATGGTAAGAGGCACGGTCAGGAACCCCATGCGCGCTCAGGGATACGAAGATATTCAATCATCTCTCCTGTGCTTGTTAGCGAAATATCGGACATGGAAGAGTACTAAACATGTCGACAAGATCTATGCCCTCTTTGGGCTTGCTGGAATCTCGAAAGATCTCTCCATCGTACCCGATTACAACAAGCCAACGGCAGATGTGTTCTGTGATGTGGCCTTTGCAATCATAGAGTCGGATTGCAACCTTGATGTTCTCTCGCAGGTCCATCGTGTTGAAGACCGAGAGGCTGGCTGGCCTTCTTGGGTTCCAGATTGGAAAGACGACGGAATCAACTACCTCACCGACATAGATGGCGGACTCAGACCATTTCATGCGGGAGGCAGATGGACGGCTTCCTACGCACAGTTTGCTCCTGATTCTTCAGGAAGGCTACGAGCTGGTTGGAGACAAACGATCGACTATGCACGGAGTGGGGCTTGTGATGGTCTTGTTCGTCGTCCTATTCCATCCAATGAGTTTGGCAACCTGACTAGAAGCGCTCGTCCTGATCCAGCTGCAAGAACTTTGGCAATTGTGATGGTGGACGGAAGAACGGAGCTAAGGAATCTCGACGAGCCCCGGTCCTATGCCACGAGGCTCGAACAGAACAAACTGGAAGTCAGAGGCACTATTTGTGACGTTATCCTCCACGTCTTGCCTCCGATCCCAAAGGAAGAAATTAGGACTGAAGGTTGGCAATACTTCTTCCGACGATGGCTCGAAGTTGCCTTTCCCAGTGGCGATCGACCTTTGCCCAGCTATACGGTCGCAGGCATCCAACTCTTCTTGCTCACTCTCTTCCATGGACAGATGAGATTCCTAGAGGACCAAATTTGGTCCTTGTTAGACCCAAATTTCAAACCCCGCTGTTTAGAGTACTATGCCAGGAGATTTCTGGTTTGGATCGCGTTTCTTTCCGAAAGAGAGGCTGGACCTTCGCCTTACCCTGGCATCCCGGAGGATTTCAATCGCTGGATTGGGCCGAATGTGGATGGCTGGAGCTTTTGCACGACACTCAATGGAAACTTTGGATTGGTGCCACCAGGAACAAAAACGTTTGATACTGTGTGTATAATTCTTGGCTCAAGTGTTCCGCTTGTGCTGAGAAGGTATGATGGGAGAGAGGAGTGGGAGCAGATTGGCACAGGCTACTTTCACCATTTAATGGGAGGAGCAGCTGCTGATCTGCTGACTGATGGAGATGCTCGTCCAAATGAGTTTATACTTGCTTGACCGAGATTGGGTGAGAGTTTGAGTGGGGATAAGGTTTTGGAGTAGATTTGAAATATGGTCAAATGAAAAAAGGGGTATCTTCAGATTTTTGGCTTGAACTTCCTTATTTTGTTGCGTTTCTACGTATATGGCATTATTATCCAAATTGAATCAAATTGTTGAACTAGCTAGCTTGACTAGCATCCATTCCTTCCACTCCAGGTTCAACCACTAATTCAGTTCGTCCGATTATTGGGTATTACTTACGTACGAACATACTAATCGTTTATTAGTATCGCCATTCGATTACGTTCCTTAAACGTACGTTCAGGAATCAGATTGGTAAATCGTTCCCACCACCAAGTAAGTACGGGGTAAATCACATGGTGGGGTGGAAATCAGGAATATAGCTAGGGAACCCATTCCCTCTGTTTTTTATGGAATCACTCTCCTGTATCTAGTCAAAAGTAGTCATTCTACAGATTGTCAATCTCTAATATATTGATTTTCCACCGATAAATCGATCCCAGTTCAATAGGTTATGAGCCCGGATAGCGCCTACTAAGTGCTTTCACATGATCCTCAGGTCACGTGACCTCACTTAGTATTCACCTGTCCATTTCCGATTTCATCAAAATCGTTAATTCTATTGAATTGCACCCACCGTATTGGCCTTGCGTTAGCAGAATTCACCAAAAATACAGCCATTTTTGGGCAAAAGTTCTCTGCAAAATCCGCCATACCGGATAGCAAAAAATCAGTATATATTACCTATAAAGGAACAAAAATCGAACCTCTCTCAGATAGTAATATCTACTCCTGGATAGATAATACTATAAATATCTTTATTATCAAAGATCTATAGCAGTATATTAACCCAGATTAAGCTCCTGCTCTTATGGAATCGGCCCAAAAGGACGATAAAACGACTGCTCGTTAAGTAATAATTACTTATACGGTACTAAATCTACTTATTACCTATAATACCTGGTAATAATTCAAGGAAATCAAGCTTATATACTAGATCTGGACCCAGATTCAAGCTAAAGCAAACTAGCTAAAAGCTCAGAAAGAAGCTCTATACCTTTAATAGTTAGAAACTATTATATTTAATTCTAATAAGGGAATAGACGACTTTATTAACCGCATTAGCCGTAAAGTAGCTAAAATCAAGGATATAAACGGGTCGATTTCGGATATTTCTATATCCGGATATCTGATTTATGGCCTTCTAAAGAAATATAACTTTTATAAACCCCTCCTGAATTCCATTAGAGCTAATATTAATAAACTAAAGCTGGAATTACTCAAAGCAGACGCTTTTACTAAGAAGAACAAACTTAGGAATAAAACCCCTAATTCCACTTTCGATTCTACTCTAAAAGTACTAGCTATTCAAGGAAATTAATCGGGAAATCAGCCCAAAAACAAGAATAAAAAACCGAAGTATTCTAAGGATTCAAATACCTATTATATATTCTATAAATATAAAGGGTATAATATTAAGAATTATATAAGCTATAAATTAGCTCAGGAATTCTATAATTCTAAAGGAAAAGATACTAATTTTACTAGTAAGGAGGCATCTTCTGATCCTAAAGTACCTATATATCCCAAAACGTATATTACTATAAAGTTAATAATTAGTACTTTCCTTAGTAAATAGTTATATAATAATAATTCTATGAATATCTGGTATATTAATTCGGGTACTATGAACCATTTTATGGGGAGTAAAAGCTTCTTTATTATATATAAAGAGATTAATCCATTTCTAATTATCCTTAGTAATAAATTAATAATTCTTATTAGGGGTAAAGGAATTATTCTTTTAGCTACCTAACTAGAGCTAAAAATATAGCTTAATAATATACTTTATAGCCCCTAATTCCGGAATACTTCCTTATTATTAATTCCCAAAATTATATAAGCTAGAGATAATATTATATTTTCCCAAAAAAAATATCCGAATTATTAATAAAGGAATAACTATTATAACTAGTACCTTTAGCCCCTTTATAGGGCTATATTAGCTTAACTAATTTAATTCAGGATATACCCTAAAAGTATTAAAATCGGAAGCTTTAGCTTCCCTAAAAATATAGTACTAGTAATATAAATATCTAAATATGAAGTATATCCTGAAATTAGTAAACTATATCTATAGGCTTTAATTCAAGAACCAAAACCTATTCGATTATAATCCATATAATATAAGTAAGATTACTAGGGCTAGTATAACTAAGCTATATCCTAAAAAACTACTTCCGGGAGAATATATTATAATCGACTTATAGGGGCTATTAAGGGTTCTATCTCTTAGTAAGAACTCCTATATACTTTCTACTACTTATAAGGGTACCAAATATTATATAGTAATATATAATTCGGATAGAAAGGGCTACTTTATAGATCTTTAGTATTAAGTAATCTTCTCTAAAACCTAAACTGGGAATAAAATCAAGTACCTATACCTTAATAATACTCCAGAATTTATATTAGGATAAGTTAAGAACTAGTATAAATTAAAGGGTATTTGTCTGGAACTAATAACTATTTATATACCTAAATAGAATAGTATTTCTAAATATAATATATATATGATTATTAAAGAGGAGTATATAAAGCTAGAATAATTAGGCTTACTATATGAGTTTTGGGAGAAAGTAGCTATATATGGGATTTATATCTATAATTAATACTACCTACCCAAAATCGGTATAACTCTATATAAAGCATTCTATAGGATTAAACCGGACATTTCTAACCTATAGATATTTGATTTCTTGGTATATATCTATATACCCAAGGAAATAGCCTTATAGTATAAATATATAGCCAAGGCCTTTAGGGGCATTTTTACTAGCTATAATAGTTCCGGATATTATATTTAGAACCCGTATAAATAGATATTCGTTATTTCTAATTATTATATTATTAAAGAATATATTAAGGGAATATATCTCCTAAATCTAGTATCCCAGCTATATAAAAGACTAGTTAGTACTACTAAAGATTATAATAATACTTCTAGTAATAATATATATAATTCCGATATAATTTATAGAAATACTATTATTATTAATACTAGAAATTAATAGCTTAATATTTTATTAGAAAATAATTAAGAAAATCACTCTAATATTAAAGGAAATACTATTTAAAATATATTATGTAACCAAATTAAGGGTGTTTCTAGTCTAAATAAAGCTTCTGAGTCTCTATTTGGGAATAATAACCAAGAATCAGAACTACTTATAAGTGATTCTAATTCAGGTTCTATGATTTAGGAGGCGCCTATATCTCCCGAAATAGTTCTAGTCAGGAGTAAATTAATCCCTAGATATCCGAAATCAATTAGAATTACCGGAGAATAGCCTAATCCTTATATTTTACTAGTTATTAATCAGAATACTAAAGCTTCCAAAATTCCAATATTAATTAATAAAGCTTTTACTAGCCCTAATGCCTATCTTTAGAAATCTTCTATTAGAAAGAAGCTATAATCCTATATATATAATTATATATAGGATCTAGTAATTAGAAAATACTAAAAAACTATTAGATATTACTAGTTATTTAAAATTAAGGCTAATAGGTACTATAAATCAAGGCTAGTAGTATAAGGCTATATCTAATAATATAGTATAGATTATTTTGAAACCTTTATTCTAGTAGCTAGGCTTTATACTATATATATTATATTAGCCTTAGTAGCTAAATATAGGCTCTATATTTAGTAAATAGACATCTAAATAGCCTTCCTCTATAGGGAATTAGAAGAGAAGTACTATATAGAATAATCTCCTGGTTTTATTAAAGGTACTAACCTGATTTGCCGCCTATAGAAAAGCATTTACGGGTTAAAACAAGCCCCTAGGGTTTGGAATTAGGTAATTAATAGTTTTTTCCATACTATTAGTTTCTTGAGATTATTTTATAATCCAGTCCTATATATATTTCAAAAGTATAATATTAATTAGCTGCCTTTTCTAATTACTATTTATATAGATAATATAATTATTATTAGTAAAAGTATGGCTCAAATTAATAAAATCAAGAAGTAATTCTATTAGAAATTTAATATAACTAATTTGGGAGAAATTAAAATACTTCTAGGTATAGAAATCATATATTTTTAGAACGGTTCTATATTTCTATACCAAAATTAATATCTTATAGATATATTCTAAAAGTATTAAATAGAAGGTTCTATTCCTATTTCTATACTAATAGCTTAAGCTACGGTTCTAGAAAGGAAAGATATTAATATTATAGAATATTAGAGTTATACGGAATTACTTATATGGCTATCCCTAGTATTAAGACCCGATTTTTGCTATATTACTAGGTATTTGGGACATTCTAATTCCTGTCCTAAAGCCTCCTATAGCTCTATATAGAAACATATAATATAATATATTAAAAGATTACTTAATATAGGTATTCTATATAATACTTTATCTAAAGAAGGACTTATTAGGTACTCAGATACCGATTATAAAGGCGATTTATAGGACCGCAAATTAACCTCTAGTATGGTTTTTACCCTATTTAATAGAATAATTAGCTAGGCTAATACTAAATAGAAAACTATAGTAACTACTACTATAGAAGCGGAGTATATTGCCCTTACTCCGGTAATTAAAGAAGCCCTATAGCTAAAGTAACTATTTAAAGAAATATTGATTCCTATAGAACTAATCGAGCTAAAAACGGACGCTCAGGGAGCTCTTAATTTAGCTATAAACATATGATTTTCTCAGAAAACCAAATATATTAATATTAGATATTATTTTATTAGGGACTATATTAATACTAAGGATATTAAGCTTAAGTATATTCCTATACAGGAAATAATGGCTAATATTCTTACCAAACCATTAGCTAGACCCGCTTTTAAACTACTATATTTAAAGCTAGGTATTATTAGCCTTACTAATATTAAATCTCGACTATAAAGAGGAGGCGTATTGAACTAGCTAGCTTGACTAATATCTATTCCTTCTACTCCAGGTTCAACTACTAATTCAGTTCGTCCGATTATTGGGTATTACTTATATATGAACATACTAATCGTTTATTAGTATCGCCATTCGATTACGTTCCTTAAATATACGTTCAGGAATCAGATTAGTAAATCGTTCCCACCACCAAGTAAGTGCAGGGTAAATCACATAGTAGGGTGGAAATCAGGAATATAGCTAGGGAACCCATTCCCTCTGTTTTTTATGGAATCACTCTCCTGTATCTAGTCAAAAGTAGTCATTCTACAGATTGTCAATCTCCAATATATCGATTTTCCACTGATAAATCGATCCCAGTTCAATACAAATTAAGACTTACTTTGTCCTCACGGTTCGAAGCTCTCAAGTGGTATGGCTTTTGACTTCTCAAGTTACCATATCTCCAGTCTTGGGCGTGGGTATTCAGTGTGTCAAATGAGTAGAGTAGAGTAGAGTAGTGAGTCCTACTGTGATGCGCACATTGACAGCGAGCGTCCAGCTGGATTTGGTAGCCTAATTGGGCTAGTGCTTATGTGGGATCGCATTCCCTAATTGGGACTAGTGCTTCCGTACATCCAGTGGAACGCTAGATTCTATATATGGAGGCATGCGAGCTTTAGAAATGGGTATCGATTAGTTTATTACTGAGAACTAGTTCTTGGAATCAATATACTTCCACGCTTCACTCCATACTTTACCTTGGATTCCACCTACCCTTACCTTGACTACTTGCGTAGCACCCTGCTATTGTGCGCCTTACACCTACTCATACTCTACTCAGCCAAAATATATCCTACTTATATTCTACTCAATACTCATTAAGTATATACTTAAGTAACTTAAGTAGTGAGTCACGTGTAAGCACATATTATAGTACGCAAGTCCCCCGACTTAATTATTAGTTTTAAACTTACTTTAAAAGGCTATATTATATCTAAGAGCAAGCAGAAGTCAAATAAGCCCTATATATTCCTTTTCTCTTAGACTTATTATTTAGAAGTCATATATAATAAATAATACGTAATTATTATATTAAATTTTACTAGTATAATAAGTAGTATTAGAGGAATTTTAAGTAATAAAAAAGATAATAAAGCTAACGAAAGACAATAAAGAGAAGAATTTAATAATATTTGTAATATAAAGAGAGATATTTAATAGAATAAACCACGTAATGAGTAGTTAAACTACTTAAGTAGTCTACTCTACTCTACTTAAGCTTAGTTAGAGGGGCTACTTATACTCTACTCAATACTCAATGAGTATATACTTAAGTAACTTAAGTAGTCTGAGTATTCCTTTGACACACTGTGGGTAATTCGGGTACTACCCGGGACTCCGGGAGGTGCTCTGGCGGTCATTCAAACCGAATCGATCTGCGCGGGTGGATATCCAGGAAATGAAGGGTTACCGGTAGTTATTCGGATACCCTGCACGTGACCCGGAATATAGTTTTTAAGCTCCGGTAGCCAATCAAATTGCTCACTTAAGAGTGTCTCGTATAAACCAAAAACAGTATACCAAATAATCCTTAATTCCAAAGCTAACCAAGCAGAATACCATGAATTGCTCCCTACTCTTCGCTGTATCAAGTTTACTAGTAGTAGGCTTTGGTCCGCTTCCTCCAAGAAGAGTCCCTCTTTTACCTCGTCCAGAGACTTCTCCAAAGCGGCCTAGAGCTGGTGTTGCCTCTGATTCCTTGCCAGCAATACGTCTGCTTGCTCGCCGGAAGGCATCAAAGATTGCTCATAAGCTCCTATTAATATTAAGTGAGAACGTATAATATATCTTATGCTTACGGAGCCAGGTATTAGAAGATGTGGACGATGAGAAAGAGATTATGATTAATAGCCGCTAGACAATCGTCAATCCCACTGATTTACAGCAAAATCAATGTCCTGGAACTACGGGAGCGGTAGATTAGATACTCAGAATATATCCTCAAAAAACCTCTAAATACCCCAAGACTCAGGATTAATTTTCCCTTTCGCTGGTTCCGTTTTAGTATATGGACCGGAGCACCTACTACTTAACCTGAGCTGAGGGTGAGCCTACCTAAGCCGAGGGTGAGCATGCCGGAGCAGAGCCTGAGCAAGCCTGAGCAAGCCTGAGCAGAGCCTGAGCAGAGCCTGAGCCATCTTGACCACGCCCTGAGTCAGCCTGCCCACTATAATGCGGAATCCATTTTGGTCTCCTCTGTGCCCCGGCTACAGTTTCCTTACCGAGTTTTGCCCGGGAATCCGTTTCTGTTCCCTTACAGGGTTCCTGCCGGAGCAGATTTTGGATCCTCTTGTCAAAGAGTATTTCAGCCTAACAAGTCAGAATACGGTGGGCTGTTTTGACCTCTGTGGCATGGCATCAGTTTGAGTCACGACCACACTTCACTATCGCAAAGTATATAATCAGTATTTAATTAGGAGTTGACCACCCGTAATACTATATAAGTATATGGACCCAATGCTCTTGCTTTAAAACTAGCTTATTTATCTAATCTTGTGGTATGCGGTCCCACTTCTCTAAGACTATTACTTCTATCTCAGCCTCCGTAGTGGGTTAGTGGCGCCGTCTGTATAATACCTGCTTAATTCTCCTCTAATACTTCTTAATTGGGTTTATATTAGGGCTTGTAGAGGGATGGGGCATTAATATAATACCATGCTCCGTATACCAGCGAGTATAGTAATTGCGAATAGACTCGTGGCCATGAGCAGAGTTACTATCTTCCATAAATAAAGGCTCGGCAGAGGGGCGAAGTAGGTGAGTAATGGCTGCAAAGGCCTCCATAATACCCTCGATATGCGGCGCAAGTACTTGTGACAGGTAATTATTCTGGCAAAAGGCTCCCTTCTTGCCAGATCCGTAAATAAAGAGTAAAGGACTCTTATAGCCATATCCAATTATACCCCATATATTAACTAGTATCGTATGCCCGCGATGAAACTGGTACTAGATATACGTCGGATGCGTACGTTCGTCTTTGTTTCTTGTTACTCTTTCCTTGACCGTCCTGCCCCCGACTAAGAAGGTAACCTTATTAGACCAGAGGACCTTTAGCCATTCCGTCGTCCAGAATATATGTGTAATTGCCCAGAGGAATCGTGCGAGAACCTGAGCTACTGTGAGGTAGGGTTTCTGGCAGGCCACATACTTAAAATACCCTCGTTATTTGAGCCGGCACTCAAGGGTCTTAATAGTATATTCAAGGTATAATTCGTTATAAAGGAGGCCGAAGTTAAGGATTCGATGCTCCCACGATTCGGATAAGTATTCGATTATCTTATTAGTTTGTATATTGGTAAGAAGAGAGGGTCTCCCGGTACGAGTAATGTGCGAGTACTCGGGAATGTCGTATCGCAATATCTTCTCAACTATTAACCGCACGAGTCCGTATCGTATTATAAGCTACTTAACTAGTATCTTAGCAAAGCCATATAGCTGGCGTATTGCCTCCTTATGTTTAGTAGGGATTTCATCGCCTGGTTAGTGGGTAAAGTCAAGGGGGGGCGTGGCGGGAGGCATTGATGGTGAACGTTGGTGGGGAAAACAATCGCTAAAAACACGGACTTTAGTCGGTAGGCTCGTAAATACAGCCTCAGCCAGGGGATTTGACCAATACAAGAGCGGAGTTTGCACAATTTGTTGGGTCGAAGTGCTAGAAGCAAAGTGCAAGGGATACAATTATTCATCTATACCACCAAGTATAGTATCTGTTCCACTCGTATACTTCAAATGGCCTGAGATCCCTTAGTAGCGGCAACCATTGGTATTTTTTATCATTTCGCGACAGTATAAGAAATAAGTAAAGTAGAGTAGAGTAGTGGGCCCTACTTATATTCTACTTAATACTTTACTTAACTATTCTAGAATATTCTAGAGTAATTAAATAATATATATATAATACTATATATAATATTATATGTAATATACTAGCCTAATATAGAAGGAAAACTATAATAAGACAAAAACCCATATAAAGTATACTAGAGTATAAAACGTAACTTAATAGTAAAATAATAAGATTAAAAGTATAAATAGTAAAGTATAAATAGTATATAGTATATAAAAGCTTAATTAATTAAATATAGAAGAGAAATTAATATCTAGAACTATAAAAAAGCTAGCTTTTTTATATAATTCCCGCAAATTATATATAAAAGGCCCTAGCCTTTACTATATAACTGAAATATTTAAACTATTAAAATAAAGTAATTTTAATAAAATACGGCTTGCTATATTATATCTGATTTTTTATTTATTTATACTTGTTTTCTAAATACTAAAAACTAATAGAAAACTCCTATTTAGAATCCGAAATAATAAAATAGTTAGAATTCTTTTCTATTAGTATTTCTAATTTCTTTTTAATATATTAAAAATATAATCTATTATTCTTAAATAGCCTTATTTTATATTCTTGAACTTATCTAAATATAATATAGTTTTCTTTATTATTTAATATTTGTTTTCAACTATTAGTTAATTTTAGCCTTTATAGCTAGATACTCAAATAGCTTATTATAGCTTATTATATTATAAATTATACTAATATATTCCAAATAAATAGCTTTTTCGAATTTTATATTATTTTTATATATTTCGTTCCAAATAGTAACCAGGTTTATTAGAATTATAATAAAAGGCTTTTTAAAATATAACTTTTAATAATTTTTTAATTATTAATATATTATAAAATTTAATACTTATATATTTAAATAAGAAGTATTATAATATAATAAATAGTTATTAATAAAAGAAAAAATAATTTTAAAGTAAATAAAGCTTTAATATTTTATATATTTAAATTATTAATAAACTTATAATTATTTAATAAAAAATAAATACTTTTTAATTTACTTATTAAAATATATGAATTTTTATATTATATTATCTTCTTTCTTATAATATTCTTATCTTTATTAAATCCCTATAATCTAGAGATATATTTCTATTTCCAGTGTGTCAAAAAAGTAATCAAGGTATTCCGAATATTCATGAATATTCATGATTAGCTTGAATAGAATATAATTACTGCAATGCTTAAATAATTTGATTAGATTAGAATATATAATCATGAATACTCATGAATACTTTGATTACTCTACACGTGACTATAGCATGTGATACGCTAGCCTGATTAAGTAGAGGCCCCGCTCTAGTGTCGCCTTAGCGCCACCTCGCTGCCTAATTAGTAGGCGAAAGGCTTGCAAAGACGATTCTAGATCGGGAGCCATACCTAATTAGGCTAGTATATCACGTGCGACAGTCACGTGTACAGTAATCAAAGTATTCATGAATATTCATGATTACCTTAATTAGAATCTGATTAGAATATAATTAGTGGGTATTTTTGATGAATAGATTAGATTACTAGCCAGTATTCTATTCTATTCTATTCATTTGACACACTGTCTATTTCGGAGAAAAATATCTAACTAACAAGTAGTTTATAAAGCAAAAGGCTTAGAAACTAAAAACATTAAAATGGCAACTAATATATACTTACGGGCCTCATGCAGTTCCCGGCTTAAATGCGGCTGCAATACAGGTCTGACCACTCTTATGCACTCTTTGGCTATGCACTCTTGCTTCAGGACTGTCGCGGGGAGGCCAGCGCGCCTCATACCGCAAATTCCGACCATCAATAATCATCACTAGTTCAAATGTTACCGCCCAGTGATGTGGAGCCTTAGGTCCAGAAAATGTGCTGAAATCCGACGGCGGAACTGGTTGAATATGACCATCATCCCTAAGGAAAGTCATGTCTGCCGTGATTGAGCCAGCAAGTTCGGCGCCTATTCATAATATTTTATTAGCAGAAATTGATCAGGACGGCAAGTGTTATTTATTTACCTTTGTTCATTACATGTGTTTTTCTGTAGTGAGACTCATGCTTGAAGTCAGATACGTAAAGAACCTCCTTGCAGTGGAAATATTTTGCTCTAATGCCGAAAGTGTGCTTCACTGTGATGTAGAACTCTTTATTGTGTGGCAGAGGCTCGTCCTTAAAGGATAGATTACCAGAATTAGCCAAGGGCGAACTAGATCACTTATCCAGATATGGGGTTAGAGTGTGCACACCTTTTGAACGAGCCAGTTGATGGTACCATCAATGTATTTTTCACCGTCTGCTTTGTCTATGATGCATCTGGTATTTCTGTGCGCAGCAAATTCCTCTGGCTCGTACGGTTCTGTTCTCAAAAAACCATAGCTACACGAAGTGATTCGGAGTGGACCATGGTCCTTGTTGAATGCCCGAAGAACAGCGCCTCTCGCTACCACGGTTGAACTTTTCAAGTTTTAGTATAATGTCGGATTCTCTCCAAGATTGTGGCTGAGGACGGAGTTGACTCACGCTGCGCGAGGAGTCAAGAACTGGATTTCTTGATCCAGAAAATTCCTCTCGTTTGCAAGCACGTTTCGGAGATGTGTTCTCAGAGCAGGAGACTGCCCGAAGCCACCGATGAGGATAACTTTCTTCCGAGGGTGTTAGTAGGGGTGACTCCAGCTTTAGCTTGGCACGGCAGATCTAAACTTACTTGTACGGCGAATCCCTTCGCTTTCACTATCTCGAGTTGCTCTATGAGCAAATTGGCAGTCCCATCCAGAGAATATTGGAAAACCCAAGCCATTTCACGCCTGTACATGGTTTAGCGTGTACAATTCAACTTTCAAGGATCTTACTTCGTTATCGCAAGTCGATTTTGAGAAAAACGTTTCTTGGAATTAGCCCTCAGGTCGTCAATGAATATTGGATCAGTCTCGTAATATTCATCAGCCGTGTCGATTAATCTCTTTTCTCCGTTTTCGAACTCTATGACTTTGCCTTCCACGATACTCTTGATAGTTTTCCCATTTTTGACAAGGTAATTTTCGTGCTTCAGTCGCTTCAACAAGAGCTTCTCAAACCTTTCATTGATATAGCTTGCTCCACAGACCTGTGCTAAGTATCGTGAACATCAACAGAAATTGAATGGAGTAGATATACCTACTACCAGGCGAAACAACCTCATCGGACAACCTCAGTGGGTAGGAGTTTGTGACTTTATAGGTAACCGCATCAACAGTTCCACCTCCAGCGTCTAGGACAAGGATTGTCTCATTTTTCTGCCAGGATTTAGGATCAGCATTCTGCCGTCTCGCACGAGGTTTGAGAAGTCTCTTACGTAGATGTCATTGTTATCTTCCGCTAGGACGCATGCAGCTGCTGCTTCTGGCTCAGAGATGATGAAAAGGTTGTCAAGACTGCCATTCACCAAGTAACCAAATTCAGATCTTTTTGCAGCGGTACTCATGGCCGCTTGCATGAAACGACATGCCTTGGATGGCCAAACCGCTGGCACGCATAAAACGAATTCGACAGGTGTACTGTCACTATACTCATTGAGCCTTCGCAGTTCGGCCTTCGTATGTTTGAAAAGCTGCTCCAAGTAGTCACTGATAACATCTGTGTCCTGCTTGACCATTTTCGACTTCTTCAGATTCTTGAGGATCACTGATAACCCAGCGCGAATATCTTCCGTTTCTTTGCTGTTTTCATGAAGCATCAACTTAAACCTAGTAAGTCGTCTTGTCCCGTCCTTTGGAATGTCTATGTTCCTGAGCTGTTTCTGCACTCCAAACCCCCAGAACAAGGAAGCTGATCTCCCGCAGTCCTCTCCAGAGTTTAGCTGTTCATTTTCCAGGTTTTCTGCGTCCTCGGGATACGAGCATGAAAATTCGCTACTTGCGTCAGACAAGGTGGGATCCTCATTCATCGATTCTTCGCCGGAACCTTGCAAAGTTTGATGGCCTGATTTTCGTTGTTTCGGCGGCGGAGGAAGATTATACCATAATTCGGTGGGGACATCTTCCCTAGGTTCCCACGCAAACGTGACTCCGGGCGGTGCGCGATCGTCTGGATATCTGGTGATGCATTTCACATTCGTTATGCCAAGGGTATCTCTTGGCATCCTTTCGCTAACTCGAGTATATGCGACGGACGAGAATGTTGTTCCAAAATCGAATGCAACAATCAAGTGGCTTGGTGATTCAGCTTCCTCCATGTCTACATCTCGATCGGAAGGAGGATCGTCCATTGGCCCCGGGTCGAACCTCTGAAATCTGTCGAACGAGCTCGGAACAGTGTGCGCCATTTGTTTTGCACCGTGGACAGTACCGCAATGATGCAAGAAGATGAATTTCAGAGGGAAGGTATAAAGCAAGAGAGTGGAAAATAGGAGTTTCGGAATAGGTTCCACGTATTCTGGGGTGGACTCGGACCCAGGAATCTACCAACTCTTCAATGGTATTACAGCTAGCTAACTTTTGTGCGTCAGCCGAGTGAGTTGCCAGGGCCCGGGAGGCATAATCACGAAACTGTGAAAGCTCTGAGAGATGGGTGGGCCGGAAGAATGAGACCATTTTCCGTATCCGCGGGCGTAGTAGCCGCTGATGTTACACAGGTTCTCGGAGAGATCCTGGAAGTTGCATATCGCGCCGGCGGGGGCATTTGCAACACCCAACCAAGCCTCACCGAAGCCAACTTAACATTGCACAGCCCAGGCAGCTGCCTGTTAATCCTTGTGAAAAGCCAGCCCACGGCACGGGGAAGTATCCTCCTTGGACCTAGCCTGAAACAAGTAGATCATACTGTGTTGTGCGTACCGCAGCGAATCAATCATGAATCTTTTTGTTAGCCTTCGTGCCATGTGAAAACCGTACCGCTGACCAACCCGATGCGGATGCACGGGTTGTCGGCGGATCCCAAATCATGCCGAAGCTCCTCATCCGAGACACAGCATTGCCTGCAAACTTGGACATCATTCAGACCACCACCGCATCTGCCTAAAAGTCTTCTGTCTTGCACCACATCATTTACCACTCGACGCTGTACAACGCTCTTTGCCTTAAATATTTGGTACAATTCCTCATCTCGAGTGCGCAGCATAGCAACAGCCTGTGCAGACAAGCCACGTACCAAGATCAAAATGGGCCCACACGACATCATAGAGCTATTGGCGAACCTAGACATTGTTGTCGAAAGGATCCGAGGGGACAGTGGCCGGCCTCATAAGTCAGAGGTTCTGCGGAAGCTGCAACCACGTCTCAGGAAGCTGCATACCGAAAGACAGATTGATAACAAACTCAAATCGTTGATTGGCAGCACAGACCCGAAGACCATCGAGGACGTCTATCGATATGGGAGCAGCCGCATAAAAAATCTTGATGTTGACTTAAAGGCTAAGGTCCTGGAGGAATTGAAAACCATCAAGAGTGAGGAAGTATGCGTTGTTGTGTCAACACCACGGCAGCTCAGAAGCGTTTCTCGAAATCCCGTACCTGAAACGAGCCGCTCCACAAGAGGGAGCACCATTTTCGGCGAGTGCACACCGACCAGAAGTGCATCTCGAAATCTCGCAATTGAGACGAGCCGCTCCATAAGAGGGAGGACCAATTTCGGCGAACGCACACCGACCAGAACCGTGCGGAAAACTCAACGTGGAGAGCCACAAACTCGCGCACCCAAGTTGGTCAAGAAAGAGCCTCTGTTAAGCAAAGTGCGTAATAGTTTTGAGATTTGGAAACAATAGCTCGAATATGTTTACTGACGTTGCCCGTTGAAGCAGACACCCCTGAACCGAAATACCAGCACTGTTCCCAGGCAAAGATTCCCCCCTCGGCCGACCACAACGCCTCCTTGCACAAGCATTGCAGACACCGAAGAAAGGATAAAGAGCTCTCAGTCATCTGAAACTTGTATGGAGAGGGGTCTGAATGATGCTCCCAGTCTGCGAAGTGCCTCGCAATCGTTTTTCTACGCGACCGAACTCCAGGACACGCCCACAGTTGATTATGATGACCTTGACACAGTACATCAATTTCCCGAAAAGCCTATCCTAGATCGCAGCCATGAGACGTTACGGGACCTATTCAATGACAACTTGTATTTCCGCAAGAAGTGGTCAGATTCTGAGGAGAGACGGAAAAAGATCGATCGAAACGGGCGTCTTAGCCACAGTTTGCTTGCACAAGGAAGCGCGAATGTTCTTCAAACAATGGCAGACACGATTGAGGCCCAAAACGAAAAAATCAACAGCCTACAGCGCCAGCTGAACAACCAAACGTTCCTCCAACCGTTTCTCACATTGGGAAGAGGGAAAGAAGTGCCTCTAAATCAGGTCCAGATTCGAACCTACCATGCGAAGATGAGGAGGGATTTCAGATCTCTTTCCATCATGAATTACTTCCAGCACCCTGATGGGACATCTACATGTGTCGAGTCTCGGGATCTGAACGAGCTTAAATCCAAAGTTCTCAGCGATGTGAATCATTATCCTGTCGGTCTAGTGATCCAGTCTTTGACTGGAGCTGCAATTTGCGAATGGGTTTTCAATGGGAAGATGCAATGCACCGCCATGATGAACACGCCACTTCTAGAGGGATACAGACATCATTTACACACAATTTGTAAGCCCTTGGAGCCCCTACAACCAGACTGACGTTTGAATTAACGTACTGCAGGCGGTGAACTAGCGCTTCGAAATGTCGACCTTGCTGCCCATCAATGGGTAATTAATGAAGAACTACATTTCCAAGAAGAATTCATCCCTCGAACTGCAACCAAACTCTCTGAGCGTCTGCTCAGCGCTCTTGGCCCATTCATGAAGAATAAAAAGAAGTCCGAGGCAAAACTCCAAATTCGTCTGAAGTCTATCTTCTGTTCGGCACTGAACATCAAATCTTTTGGAATGATTGGTAAAAACGTGTTCGAATTTATCTGGCCAGCGCACAATTCCAGCTTTGAAAGAAATTGTATGGTAGAGGAGTCGCCAGAAGGTACCACCACATGTAATCAAACCCCACCCAAGCAAGAGGCGAAGAAAGTGATGTTGGCACTTGTACCAGGCCTTCGTATTTATAACTATGACAGGAAGTTGGTAGATTATTCTGGCTTTACGAAAGGTGACGAGGAGGGTTTGGAACAACCCAGTCTCGTTGCTCAAGCTGTGGTGTGGCTCAATCACGAGGACGAACAAATTAGAATAGGGAATTGAATGGAAATCCTGAGATGACAATCGACTGCGCCTCCCAATTCAGGCAGACTACCGTTCAGTGGGGCCGCCGGAATGGAAGGTTTCAGCCCAGGCGTACGCCACCCTAGCCACCAGAAAAATCGATGGAATCAAGAGGGCTTGTAAGGGTGTGGATTGAGAATGGTCAGGAAAACTAGCTAAGTAGACTCTTAAGCCTGACAAGGCATCCACGCATCACTAAGACTACTTCCAATTTCGCTCCTTCCACGCCACCCCTACCTTAGTCCTAGTCCAAGCGAGTGTGGTCACTCCGTTCGGGCATGAGCTTCCGGCCGCGCGAGGCGCAGCTCGCACCTACAAAACAGTCTCTCTGCCCGCTTGACTCGACTGCCAAAGGACTGTCTCAGGGAGGGTCGCGCCTAATTTACATTGACCATTATTTATTAACAAAAAGTCGGCAGAAGAGTCACTATGCCTCCGAAAAAAGCCAAGCTTTCGAAAGAACAGTTGAAAGAGCTCGTTGATGATTATGACATCAATTTTGAAGGTCCTGTGCCACCGAGGCAGTGGCCTACCCAATACAGCCACCTTTTCCAGGTTATACGGGACATCTGGGCCAACCGATATGACAAATATATCACAAGAACTGATATAGACCAAAAGACTATCAGGAAGCAGATAGCCCGGGTGAGAGACCTTCGCACCAGAGCTACTAGTCTGAGAATGGATTTCAGTATCAATGAGGATACTTGGAGAAGTTTGATCGAGACACCTGTCATGGGGCGGTTTGACCAAGAAATTGTGTGGTCAGTCTTGTTGATTTTTTCTGGAGGTTGTTCTAAGCTCATGCTCCATTAGTGTTCGTTGCAGAAATGAGAACTGGCAGTCAGAATATGAAGCACACCCCCGAAACGAGGACGACAAGGAAAAATTGGAAATGAAACGAAAGCGTCGACGCCAGTGCACCTGCGATGATGGTGATATTTCTGGTCGAAATCTAAATGAGGATAGGTAGATCTTCGATCACTATAGAACTGGATTTGAAAGCTAACAATCCCCAAGCGATGAAGAAAACCAGACCAAGATTTTCAGCGCAGTATCAAGCGGATTAGTGTCTCATGACCCTCAAGATGGCCTTGAAGACTCTAGAATTCCAATGAAACCCGATAGAGTTATTGGATTAAGCATGAATGATCGATATCGGAGGTACATTGGGTCCTTCTCTGTCAAACTTTCGCATTCCCCTGTCAAGAAACTGCAACTCATGTACCCATTCCTTGTCCTCGAAGCAAAACGTGAGAATGGTGCGCCAGGGTTCAGATCTGTGGAATCGCAAACTGCATTCCCCATACGTCGATTTTTAAGGATCCAAGATGAGCTACAGAGGGCCAGCGAAAATAAAATTGAACTTGATCCATTGGTGTGGTTCTTTGCTTTCCAAGGGGAAGAATGGCGACTCTATTCCGCAGTTCTTGACAAAAATAAAACGGTGGTAAGATTGCTCCTCAGAGGGACCTACTGGCAACAATATTGACAAAGACCTCGCAGCAAGTTTTTCATCTTTGGCAGGGCAATCTGGAGTCGCAAGACGGTGCATTGCAAATATTCCAGATTGTTGATTTCATTTGGACATGGGCCCGCGACGTTTACAGGCCTCAAATTCGAAGGTGTCTAAGTGGACGCGTCACCCACCCTCGCGAAATATCTCCGACTTCAACGAATCCTTTCCCTCGCTCGCAATCGGTATTCTCTGTACTAAGCGTCCGATCGGTTTCTCGAACCGTTCTGGATACAATGCAGGAAGACGAAACAACCGCGTCGGAGGTAGTGAATGATGATCTCCCGGAATTTCAGGACGCAGGCTCTCACCCGTTCCTCAGGTGGTCAGGTCCTCGCAACGTTTCCACACCCTGGGCTCCTCATGCCAGTTTACGACATTCCGATATTGTTGTATTCTCGTTCCGCGTTCTTGAGATCCCCGAAAGTCAAGAGAGCTTTCACGATCTAATCAGCTCTTTACGATATGACGATGAAAAGTCAATAATGATGTTGCACGCTCTAAAAGCTATACAGCAAAATCAATACACTCTACCCTTAAACAGAGGCCAATTACACAATATAGAGAGGTCTTGGACAGGAGTAAACACGCAGACGCCTTACGAACGAAGCACAACGGGTCACCCAGATCAGAGGGTTGAGGCTTTCTTTTTGTTTCGTACATTCTGTCAGCAGGAAGATTGGCAACTCAAACGGGAAATTTACTGCGTCATCTGGTCACCGCAAGCCGCGAGTGTGCTTAACATGTTCATAGAGACCGACATTGATATATTCTTTGACGAAGAAAGTCTGCCATCAATCCAGCACTCCGAATTTATTAAACCGTTTCAGCAACTCCGCCAACTCTCTGGAAGACAATCTGTGGCATACGCGCTGCAAAACACAAGCCTCATCCTATTACCCTGCGGCGATGACAGTGGACGCGGAAAACAGCTATTATGGCGCCAACCTCAACGTCAAGGAATACCAGAGCACGTGATTGCTAAAACCGTCGCTTTATTCGACTCCGCATCATATAGCGAGGATGGAATACAGTCATACCATCATCAGTGTAGCAGACTTCTTTGGGTGCTTCGGACAGAACAAGGGATTGATACTCCTGCAGAACTTGAAACCGTCCCCGATAACGTTGGCAAGGGGGGAGCAATGCTGGCGATGAAGCCGAGCGCCTGGCCCCAACAATGTCCTCGGTTTTGTCTCTTTGTACTCCTCGGCCATGGCGTTTATGATGAAGCCCATCTTGGAAGTCTGCTTCGCTATACGGTCCAAGAGCGAGAGATGTACTGCGTTATTGGAGGTGCTGCTCAGGAAACAGAGCTATTTAGTGCCGCTGATAGACACTTGCTCAGAAGCTGGGAGGATTCCTTCAGCCGAAGAACTATGCCCATAGGCCAACTTAGTTGATTAGCTGCGCGTTTGATCAAGTTTAGAATCCTGAATAGCCACCAACAGCCCCGCTTTTCATGTACTACATTTTCCCCTTAAATTCCCGGTATAGCGTGAACGAGTCAAGTCTCAAGGATTTTTAGTATTTCGTAATACTATCACTTAATGAATCCTAGTAGCATAGGAGCCTTTGTTAGCTGCTTTTCGGCGACACTTACCCATTCTCGCAAACTTTTAGTAACGTGTCTTCAACGAATCTGCGGTAGTTCACTACTGGGATATAAAATCGGCACTTTTTCAAATGCAAGTTGATACTATAACAAATCCTCAGTGAGAGGTGGGCCTCCCCAGTACTTCTTATAGTGGTCCGGATAGATGCCTGCATTAGGGGCGGCCTTAATGTTTCAATTTCACAAAATCATGATTAGAGGTATCCTTCGTGTTGGGAATCTATAGGCGACTACGAAGAACCGATTGCTCTGATTTAGAGAAATACTTGATCGGGACTCGCTCTATAGGCAGAGCTGAAAGAACTCATGGCAATTATTTGGTCTTTCGAGGAGTGGAGAGTCGTACTTGATAAAACAAGAGTCCAAGTAGACGTCGCTACTCTACATTCAACCTCAAACTGGCCTACTGGCCGGGAAAATAAGGAGGCAAGTCTGGCGCCCTGTCTAGACGCCCTGCGGCCTTCCGTGAAACGATGCACTGGTATGAAAAAGCTCTTGCAAGTTTCAACAGCCCTTAGTGATGATATCAGCAGCTATTTGGAGGCCTCCATGTTATATTCAGTAAGGACTTGTAAAAAAAAAAATGAGATGCCAGAATGTGCTAGGTAATTGGATTCAAATGGGTTTGTATAACATAAAGAATGCCATAGAATCCGCTTTGTAATCTTGAAGTTATAACCTTTGAGTTAACAACCATAACCAACAAACCCAAAAGAAGAGGCGAGAGGTTGAATAGACGAAAGGTCACCTTGCTTAAAAAAGCGTCCAAGATTGCAGAATTCTGCGAGGTCATCCTCGTATTAAATCTCCATATTGCCAAAACCGACCGTTACATTACTTTATAAATATGTCGACCTCGAGTCGTGGCCACCGTCGAGGGAGCAAATGGTAATTCTTAACTAGTTTCCCCAAAGGCCTCAAGAACTGCGTACTAAAAGAGCAGCAGTAATTTAGCTATCCGATTCCCATAAACTTGTTTCCATATGATATAGAAACTAAGCTGAGAGTAGTCAATACTGGTCTAGACATAATATAATACGTACCCACGCTTGCTTTTTTTTATTCGGAAGCTGTATGCGATGAGAAGAGTCGATTTGTGGACGGCTTGTTGTAGACCAAATATTCGGGGAAAGCATATGCGTAAATGGAAATCGCAGAATTGTATCATAGGAATCCCGAGGGCATAAAATCAAATGTACGAGAACATGACCAAAGACCATCCTCAGCGCTGTGGAAAGAGGCTTTGCCACTCCGCAGATTGAAACCAGAAAAGATGGAACCTGGGGTAGGGAGACAATGGGGGCAAATATCAATCAACAATGGCAATCGATTACTCATCCTATCTACTCTCTTCAACCCATCACCAAGGTCCAAGTACCATACACAAACATACTATACAACTCAGAACACACCCAGGTCTCTTCTTTCCCCACTCACCCTCACTCAGAAAAGAAGCAAGAAATCCAAGTCCATACAGCAAAAGAAAGACATTATCATCAATCATAATCTCCCCCAGCCCATCTCCTCTCTTCATCTCCGGTCAAATCAAATCGAATCGGTACAGTGAATCTCAAATCCGACAACCTATACAGCCAAACAAACAAACAGACGATGCTCGCGATGCTCGCTCACTCCAACCATGAATGAAAACGATGCCTTCAATCCTCTATATATGCAATTCGAATGTAGACCAGACTTTTGTTTGTGCTTTTATGTTTCAAATGTACGAATCGACCCCGCTATGATATGGTAATCTATGTATGCGCCGAGAATGCTAGAGACAGGTTGCTTATACGGCAGGCCACTTGTTGCGAAGTCCATCTGCCCAGCGGGCATAGAGGACATCGGCGAGTTGCTTGGTGTGCTCCATGCCGGGAATGACTTGACCTGGGAGGTTCGATATCTTCTCTCTGACATCTGCATCGGGCATCATACTTGATTGTCGCTGGCGGTGTGACTTCAGGTGCGGGTTGTTTTGAGCAAGCACTAATTTCTGGCCAGGCTTTTGTGGCGATGGTTGAGGTGTCCCATCTCGGGTGGAGGTCTTGGATGGTGAGAGAACAGAAGACAGTTTGGAATCATTCTGAAGTTTCTCCATCATGACCTTGAGTAACTGGAATTCTCCTTCTGGGTCAATTGCATCGAGAGCGCTCCAAGCATCAGCAAGTCGAGATAGGGCCTCGCGCTTGGCCTGATTTCCGGTTTGGGCATGGAGTTCCTGGAATGCGGGATCAACTATCTTATTGAAAACACGGTGTCCGAGAACTGTCTCTTTAGTTGCTGGTTCTGATAATGGTGGCCTGTTCTCATCCCGTGTAGTCTCTGGAGCAGAAACGTCCGAATTGACCTGGGCCAAAGTGGAGTTGTCCGAGACTCTTCGGAAGAGACGAACAGTGGATCCAGTGTTGCCAAAGCTCATATCTGGTTGAAGAGGCGGTCGCCGCTGACTGCTTGGCTGACGGGACTTGGATGGGGAGGCAAGCTGTGCAATGGAAGGTTGCTTGCGAACGGTGCCTTTCTTCATTGTAATTGGTGGAGGAGAAGAATATTCTAATGGTGAGTCTTTTAAGTCAAGTCGCTTCATTGCATCCTCTGGACCAGCATGCATCCCTTGGCCATTGGCGTGGATTACTGATAACTTTCGTCTCTTGGTAGTGTTCTTTCGTGCTGGAGCAACGGTGGAAACCTTGACTGTATCAAAAACCCATCCATCAGGCTCCTCTTTGGTAATCATTGTATTTCTAATGCCGTTAGTGAAGGAAGACGGGGCCTGGAGCAGTCAACTTACAATGTTTCTTCGTACAAACGGGGGTGAGAGGGTCTGCTTCGTCCACCATCCCATTCCTGCTTTCTCTCAATCAATTCCTGCAAGGCTTCCACTTTCCCTGCGGATCGAATAAACTTGTGCTTGAGAAGTTCCTTGGCCGAGGGGCGTCTGTCGCAATCCTTGACAAGACATTGAGCAACGAAGTCCTTGAAGTCTTTGCTATATTGCGAACCCTCGAGCCTTGGTGCGGGCGCTTTTGGGATGTGGAAGAGAACTTTCATAGGATGTATCGACGCATTTGGAGGTTCTCCATTGATCAACTCTATAGCTGTGATTCCAAGAGACCATATGTCCGCCTTGAAATCGTATCCGTTTTGTTGAATCACTTCCGGAGCCATCCAGAAGGGAGTACCGACGAATGTGTTCCGTTGGGACTTGATATTTGTGAGTTGTGCTGCAACACCGAAGTCCGCCAATTTGACCCTGCCGGCGGTGGATAGCAGAACATTGGCAGCCTTGATATCTCTGTGTATCTTGCCTTCGTGGTGAAGATATTCCAGTCCGAGTAGAAGTTCGCGGCATATTATTGCAATGTGGGCTTCGTTGAAGGGGCCAGGTTTCAACTGATGAGATTAGGAAGATTGCCCACGGAACAGAGGAGTTTCCTACCAGATCCAAGCACGATCCTCCGCCCAAATACTCCATGACGATCCACAGTTTGTGACCTCGGAGGAAACTAGCAATATATTGTGTGACGTATGGACTCGCGCATGTGCTCAGCACAGATATTTCTTGTTGAATTTCGAGAATGTCGTCCTCACTCGACTCCAGGTCAATCTGCACTGAATCAGCCCTGTCTCAGGAACCAAGACACACGGTACGTACATGTTTAATGGCGACGACTTCTCCAGACATCTTGTCAATGGCCTTGTAGCTGTATTACTGTGGTCAGTATTGCCACTGGGGGAAAGAAGTGTATCAAATCTCTTACACAACGCCGAAGCTCCCTGCGCCGAGCTCCTCGAGGACCTGGTATTGACCTGCCATCGCGCCTTCTGTAGACATGTTGCAGAACGGCAGGACAAGATCGTTGAGCCTTTGGGTGCAATTGAGCGGGAATCACACGTAGGCGCACGTTGTGAAAGGATGGATTGTTCTTAATGCGAAGTGGTGTGGAAGGTGTTGATATTAAGTGTGCCTTGTTGCTGCATCAACAAAGAGCTTGGGCCAAGCGGAGCTGCGATCTGCTTGAAAAGTAATTATGACCGCTGCGGGTCGAGTAGAGAATTTGATGATGCGCTGCGACAATAATCAAGCCAGCGTGCAAAGAATATGACTCTGAATGTAATCTGAGTGAAAATGTTCAAGGACGCAGAGAAGCTGGATTGATGAAGGCCGTCCTGCAGGTCGAGCAGGGTCTCTGCTTCTCTGGCCATTGATAAACTGTTATCACAAGCGGACAGGGAGCCCCTGTTCGTAGCGAGCTGCGCTAGTGTTGCTAGGCAACCACCACCGAAACGCTCATTGGCGGAGCACCTTCCCCTCTGTTGTTCTGAGCTCACTCCACAAACGAACATCAAAGACTTCAACCCTTCAATTGCGACGCTGCTGCAAGCCCTGCATTTGATTTAATCCCCCGATATATTTTCTACAACTCTACAGCTATTCTAAAAACCTCCATTCCGCCATTAGATTCGCACGACGCGTCGATGTGTTCCTGGGACCGAATCCTCCAAGGCGCGAATTGAGCGCATCCCTCCAACATGCCAGAACCGCAGAGCCTACCAACGCGATTCCCATGCTGGTGCCGGGCGGTATATAGCTGGGGAGGAGAGGTACAGATCCCATTGATATTCAGGCTTCGATGATTTCAAATGCTGACGGAAACACAGTCTAAACGCGACCTTGGATTCGTCGAAGGAGATCTAATAGAATGCCTCAACGCCGGAGATGGATCATGGTGGATGGGGAGGCTACGACGGGACAAGCGTATGATGGGACTGTTTCCTTCGAACTTTGTGGAGGTCCTTGATGATAGCTTTCGACCAGCGAGCAGGGCTTCGAGCCCAATGCCAGATCGATCACTCAGCCCGAGTCCATTCAACCCACAACCATCAGTAAAGGCCAAGTCCAAACCATCTCGAAAGCCTTTTCAATCATACTCTCAGCCAGATTCTGCAGCCATGAAACGAGCGGAATTACAAAAGCAGGACAGTCTATCGTTATCTCGAGCACCCTCACCGAATCCTATGAGCGTTCACGATAATATTGGCTCAGTACCCTCTCCTCAAATACGTGGCTATGGCTCCCGTGCACCTTCTCCAGCTCCACCAATGCATATTGGATACGGTTCGAGGGCACCCTCACCGATGCCCCCAAGACACAATGGGTATGGATCTCGAGCGTCATCTCCAGCTCCATCCTTCCAATATGCACATCACTCTCGAGCACCATCACCAAACCCGCAATTCGACATTGGTTCCTCTCCTCCACCTCCTCCACCGCCACACAGAACTACATATACCGCGCAGGGTTCCATCAATTCATATGATCCACGTCCCAATGGCTATCACACCCCGCGTGGAACTTCCCCTTGCCCTCCATCACCCGGACCCACGGGGTTGACGCCTTCCCCTCTCCGAGATGCCATGGATGATGTTATGTCCTCGTTGGCAGATATGGGAATACGAAGCACAGAGTCTCCAGAGGTCCCGCTAGATCCATGGTCTCCTGAAGCTTTCGATCAGACATACACAAAGGCGAGACGGGCCGCACCATTGAGACCACAAACAGTAATGGGGATTGGAGCACAGAATGGTTTTGACGACTATGACCCTAAGTCTTATGGTGGCAGTTCCTCTTCTCGTTATGAAGTTGACCAGCCTCCTCCACAATTGAGCAATTACGTCCAGCGTATGGAGAATCGACTGAGTAAAATGCATTCCAGCAGCCCACGGCCTGCCCCGGATGATGACTGTGGCCCAGCTGTTCCTCCAAAGATGTCTTACAATCGACCGAAGTCTTCCATGGCTGGCAGTACACAATCAGAACCAAAACTTCGTCATCGCAAGTCAGCTTATGAAGTCGGGAGATTAGTTCTTGGGCGCACTTTTACAACGAAGACAAATTCTACTACAACTTCATCTGGAAACCGGAGTACGACTACCAACGGCAGCTCGAGTACGAACATGACTGATCGAAGTCTTATGAGCGGACATTCGGCAGGTGGATTTTCAGCTACTAGTGCAGGAAGTTATGCAAGAAAAAAAGAAGCCTCGAGTGGCAGATCTCACAGCGCGTTTGGGTCCAGGAAAGACCACTTTTTGGGCATGAACGCGAGCCAGGCAAGTTCCACTAGCCGACCTCAGACGCCGGTAACGGGCATATCATATCACAGCAGTCATGCCTCTGAAGCGCCACGATCTCAATCGCAAGCGGGATGGCATGGTTCAACGACGGATTCGAGCATTCTGGGAGGACTCATGTCACCGCCAAAACCTAAGAAAAGCGGATTCTTCAAGAAGTTCATCGATTCAGCAAAGACGGGAGCTGCGAGTGCCAGGAGTAGTATTGCCGCGGGTGAAACTTCAAGACCGAGAGTTCCTACGAAGATGCCCAATGGCGTCTCGTCTATCGCTGGCGGTTTCGGCACCCAGCAGCCTGTAAGCAGTGCAGCAAGCGATATGGGTCTTGGGGGCGGGAATGGCGGTATTGATTGGGTCCAAGTACGCCGAGATGTCAACCGATCAAATTCTTTGAGCCGAATTGAACGTATCGAAAGAAAGGACCGATGTCAGATGATGGACTACCCAGCTATCAGCCCAATGGAGGAGCTTTATGAGCAGTGCGACGGCGATGAAGGTACGGATGGAAACCCTGTGGCCGAACCAACGAATTTCCAAGCAGTCAATCTGAGTCTGGTTGACAAGAATGCGAGGTTCATCAACAGTCTTCCCCCGATGACGAACCCAGTCAGTCTAGCTACCGGGTTTGTTTGCAGACCTTACCGAAGCGATGTTCAAAGATTGAGAGCTATTTTCACATGGGTAAGCGAGAAGATTACCTGGGAAGAAGACTTCGAGACGGATGTTGATTCGAAACGACTCATCCAAACCAAGCGAGGTTGTGCTGAAGAAGTGGCTGTTCTGGTGATGGAGATGTGTGCAGCGGTTGGAATTCATGCAGAGATTGTCAAGGGATATCTGAAGACTCCAGGAGAAGTTCCCGAGCTGGGGGTAATGCCTCGTTCGAACCACTGGTGGAATGTGGTCATTGTGGATGGGGAATGGAGAATTATGGACTGTTCACTTGCGGCCCCCTCAAATCCCCGTCGAGGTCTTTATTCGAGTGTTGGAAGCCAGGTTGCCGACAGTTGGTGGTTTTTGACTCGTCCGTCGGAGATTTGTTGGACTCATATTCCGGAACAGCACCAGCATCAACATCTGTGTCCTGCCATCGCGCCTGAGATCCTTCTGGCTTTACCTTGTGCTTGTCCACCGCACTTCAAGAATGGTCTTGCCATGGTCGACTACGACTCAAGTCTTGTTCGAATTGAGGACCTCGAGTTGGTTCATATCAAGTTTACAGCCCCAGCTGATGTTGAATGTGTCGCTGAGGTTGAAGCTCGAGCATTTGAGCGCGATGCAGATGGTGATTTCTTTGAAAGTGGAGAGGTGGTGAAGAAGCGTGCACTCACACAGGCAGAATGGATCGGGGGCCAGAAACGCTACACAGTGAAAGCTCTCCTACCCGGCGACGAAGGCCATGGTATCCTTAAGATCTATGCTGGAAAACGAGGTCTGATGCACTCAATCAAGGACATTCCGCATCCACTTGCGTTCGCCCTTCCCATCATCCACACAGGAGAGAACCCACCGTATGAGTTCTTGACTCGCCATCCAACTCCCCATGCACAACGACACGACTTATACGTGGCGCAACCTCAATGCCATCGCCTTGCTCTAAACAATACCTTCGTCTTCGCGATCCGACAACATCCGTCATCGCTCTCATCCACATCCCCAAACCCTGGAGGCACGTCGCCCATTCCATTCACCCGCCCGACTTCAGCAATGTCAATCACCAATTCCTCGGCCTCCGGGTCGAATCCTGGCACGACAAACGCGTATGCCTCGAAGAAACCAGCGAAACTAGCGATCCAGGCACCAGGTGGCAAAGTCCTGAGGTTGATGCGGAAGGAAGAGAAGATACAGAGTACGAGCCAAGCGCTTGAACGAGGGGATGGAGGGACATGGGAGACGATAATCAAAGTTGGAGAGAGAGGGGTGTGGAGAGGGCTTGTGCTGGCGGATCGGAGTGCGAGGTGGTGTGTTTTTGCGGAGTGGACTTGTGTCTGATAGGAAGCTATTCACAATTGTGATACTAGGGGGGGAGATATCCGTTATTTGAAGACATCGGGCAGGGATGAAACGGGGAGATTTGTGAGTGTGTTCTGCATTGCATTTGCGTGGCGTATTGTCCGAGGTACAGGGGATCTGGGGTTGGGATGTGAAAAGGTCCAGTGTATAAAAATATGCATGCGAGTTGGCGTTCTTTTTCTGGTCCATTTGGTTGGAAAGTTGCAGCTTTGTAGGACTAGGATTCCTGATTCATCTTCAGACGAGGGGTGTGATGAGACGACATCAGATGAATTGAATTGATTTCAAGAATGGCCATCTCCACTGCCTTGCGGGATCAGCCTCTTTGGTGCCGAATAAAAGAAAATAAATGGGCGCAATGATGCAATCCCGAATGCAGCCACTCGCGCTGAAGAATCGGCGCTATTGGCCAGCGGGCTTCATTGCTTGTTTTTCATGCATGTCTCATTTGCTGAAGAACAAGCTCGGAATATCGTTATCTTCCCCACACTACGCCATGGGGTATTCCTCTACTTCACCACCTTCACCCATCTCCAGCTTCTTTAATAGTGCAGCCATTCCCGCACCAAGATAGACCCCTGGTATATTGGTAGGGACATAGGGGCTTTGGTGCAAGTCCTGACGCATAATTACGAAGTATGTTCTTCAACGACTCCTACGATTGTAGTTGGCGGCCGTCGAAACGTCGCACCGCATCCAAGCACCTCGGGCCAACGCTTCCGAGTTTCCCTTCTTACCCTCCTCATCCGGTGCTGTTCCTCACTCGTCCTAGCCTGACGCAGCGCACTGCAAAAATTCCACCAGAGAGCCCCGCCAATCAGTCCGCGCGTCCCGCCCGTCGTCAGCGACGTTTCGGGATTTCCGTCGCAACGTAGCTACCCTGCGGCGCAGTGGAGCTTCTGTTTGCCTGCATATGTAGGGCAACTTTCTTTCAACGAGATCGCATTGCATCGCATCGCCAGAGAGGAGGTAGAGATGCGGATCAACGCAACGAGGTAGCTGGCCTTTGAGAGAGGAGAAGAGAGATGCGCTTCCAGCTGCCGTGGAAGCGCAGCCGCGGCCGCTATGGAAAGCTTATCTCGCCCGCCTCTGCCGCAGCGAAGGATGAAGAGATGAATGATTTTGACGCGGATATGGATGGGATTGAGGAGGATAGCGAGCGGGAGGAAGAAGAGGCTGAGGGGGCCAGGAGGAGCGTGAAGCCGATGGTTTGGATGGTGTTGAGTGTTGTTGCTACGCTGGAGGGGAGGAGGATGTTGAGGGGGGGTTTTGGTGAGTGGCGGATTGTCTGAGATGAGAGCGAGCACGTGCTAATGATGAATGCAGGATATCGTGAGTCTCTTCATCACCGCCCCCATTTCATTTAGATTGTTAGTGAGCAATGGCTTGAGGAAAGGGGCTGATGCGTTCAAAGCATTTTATTACACCTTCCTGGTTCAATTGGCCGCTTACATAATTGTCGCTGTCACGGTCCTGCTGGTCAGATTAAAGAACTTCCGGCGCGCGAAACGGAAACCGGAAGAGCAGTATAATTGGTGGGAGTTGTTTGTCATGGGACTCAGGATCATTGTATCGTCTTGCTTTGCGGGGCCGGCAACCTTGTATGGTGTTAAGGCGCTCATGCTTTATTCGAATTTGCCTGTGTTGGCTATGCTACCGGTACGTATTTTTCAAGGGGGATTGAGGAAAATGGCTGATGAGTATAGATCTTGACTTATGCTTGCGACAGCATATATTTCAGGTTGGCTCATGTTTGCCGCTTGCTGCCTCGAGGACAAAACATCTCCTTCGGGCACTTTCCAAAAGTTATTCTGGTCATCATCGGCGGCGTGCTGCTGGTTTGCCTAGACTATCGTCTCGATATCCAAGCTTTGCTTTACGCTTTAGCTAGCATCGGGCTCTTCAGTCTTGCGAAAGTCCTCTCGAGAATCGGTCCGGAGATCGAATCCAAAGGCACCCAATCCTGGGACGGCCCCTTGCACGTTTATTTACTTGCTGGCATTGCCCCCTTGATCATGTCGGGCCTCGCTACAGCGAAACTCGAGAATCTGGTTATGGCTGGTCATATCACCCAGCCTTGGACAATTCTCTACTGGCTACTCAATATTGGCCCGGCCGTTGTTCTTCATGCTTGTTTCAGCAGCTCCTTGAACTCAGCATACCCGTTCATATCGGACGAGCACATAGGTGGCGCTTTGGAAGAGCCAAGCGAGCCCGCAAGAGAGGCCGTCACCACCACGCTCCAATCCGGCTTCTGGATCCTCATCATCGGCGTCCTATCACAAGAACACAATTTCATCGACTGGCTCCAAGTCCTCGCCTTCACCCTCATCTACACTGTCTGCGTCGGACCCAAACACATCGGCTACTATCCCCCTCGCATCCTAAACCTCCTCCTGCGCCTCTTCCGCCGCCGGCCTTTCCCCATCCACTCCGCCCCCTGGCAATTCCCCTTCTTCCTTGCCACAACAACGCTCATTTTCTCCGTCCTCATCAGCACAAACGTCTTGCACTGGGTTGACACAATCGCCTTTGACCGCTCGGTCCGCACCTTCCACGTCCCGGCTGAACCTAACCTGGATCAGATTTACCGTCCGCCGATAGTGCTTTCTTTTGAAGTGGTGATCGCGCATTCGGCTGGTGATCCAGTCGAGGCCATCACGGCACTCATGAACACGGTGCAACACCACCGGTATCTCAACTTCCTCAAACCCCATATCAAACTTTACTCTAAAGACAGCATGTTCAACTCCTCCACGACGGCACCAGATACCGACGACTTCAGAGGTTTTTTCAAAGGCAACCTGACCGTCACGCCGCTCCCTAACGTCGGCGGAACCACGGCCTCCCTCTTGCATCACATCCTAAACAGCTGGGACTGGCTGCCTGTGCAAACTTTATTCCTCTCCACGAGCACTATCACCAACAACCCCTCTTCTTTACCCCTGATGAGCCAACATCTGAACAAGTACTTCACGCCCATGACTTTCCCCCTCCCGGACGCCCTCCCAAAAACCGGCTTCCTATCTCTCGGGCCACAAGAAATCTGCAATTCATGCGAGCGTTGCTTCGACTCTTTCGGGTGGGAGGACTCGTTCCACCTCTTCCCTTCCATGTTCGGCGCTGCGAACAGGAAGGAGAAGGTCTGCGATTCTGTTCTGCTGACGCACGGGAATAATTTCGTTGCTTCGGCGGCACGGATCCGCGGGGTTGACAAGGAAGTGTATCAGCTCCTGTACGACGCGCTTGTTAAAGCCGACATCAAGAATTCGTGGGCGCACTCTAAAGAGAAGTTGCCGGTCATGCTGGAGGGGGAGAAGAAGGGAGAAGGAAGTAGGTGGGGTCAAGGAGGCGTTTATGGGATTCCCGACTCGTTGGAGAGGCCCTGGTTGGGCATGACGGTCGAGAGGTTGTGGGGTGTGCTGTTGCAGTGCTCGGAGGGCAGGATTGCGTGGGGGTGTGCGGGGTTCGGGAAGGGGAGGTTGCGTGGCGGGAAGGAGGATTGTGGGTGTATTGAATAGAGGCTCTCCCCACTCCCTCACTCCCTCATTTGAATTTGGAATTTATTTGGAATTTGGAATTCGGAAAAGTGGTGAAGTGTATTATATGCGTTCTTAAGATTGCATGGATGGAGTTCTGGGCATTTTGGGAGATTTTGGAGAAGGGGTTGGATAGGCGTAAGATGGAGGGATGGCTAGTAGAGAAGTTTTGGGAAAAGGAGTATGGACGAAGGAAAGAATTCTGAATTCTTGGTTTTTGTTCTCTGACAAGTCCGCGCTGTTTTCTCTTTTTTTCGGCTTTGGGTTTCTAAATGGTGGACTGACTTGAGGCTATGACATATCGTAAAGTGGGGAGGAGAGCAGGATGTACAGTCCCTGTCGCTTAGTTCCCGTTTTTTTACGCGAAAACGCGTAAAAGCGCGTCTCGCGCCCACCCACCCTTCTTCCTTTATTACTAATTATGCCACCAATTCGTACTCCTTTAGCTAAACGCAATGGCAATGGCCACCGGGGCCCTGAACTCTCCGAATTCCAAAGAGGCCGTATTATTGGCATGTATAATACCGGTAAAAAGAATATCGAGATCCACCGGTTCTATTCTCACCCAACTTCAACCATACGAGATACTATCGAAAAGGACTCACTATGCGAAGACGGGCACTCTGCTCCTCGATCTAGCCAGCCCAAATCGTGGACACCTGCTGAGGAAAGACGTATACTACATTACGTATGTCGTTTCCCAAAGGATATATATGCAGAGGTTATTAAGGCATGTAGTATGGGGTTTAAGAAGACTACGGTTAAGAAGATCTTGAAGCTATATGGAATCAAGAATTGGAAGTGCAAGAGACGATCTTTTCTTACCCAAAAGCATACCAATACTCGACTTGCTTGGTACCTAAGATATAGAGGTAGGAGGCCTGAGGAGTGGGGAATAGTCGCATGGAGCGACGAGTATAGTATGGAAAGGGGGCGGGGGAAACGAGACGAATAGTGCTTTCGTACGTCGACAGAGAAATGGCAACTACGAATAGTCCAAACCTATGGAACGAGCAAGAATATAAAGGTTATAGTCTGGGGAGCCTTTTGGGATACTAGGAGGAGTAACCTTTATATTATAGATAGGGATTTTGAGTCGGCAAAGCATGGGTACTCTGCAGAGTCATACCTGGAGGTTTTGGAGGCAGAGGTAGCCCCAATATTTGCAGGACTAGGCCCAGGTTATGAATTTATACAGGACAATGCCTCTATTTATCGTATTAGTAAGGTCAAGACTTGGTTCGCAAAAATGGGGATTATATTGCTTGAAAACTGGCCGGTATACTCCCCAGATCTCAACCTAATTAAGTATATCTGGTAGGCCTTGAAAATACGGTACTATAAGATATTCCCTGAGGTTATAGCTAATAAGTCAGAGTCAGAAGATACATGCCAAAGATTGGAATCTTGTCTACAAGCTACTTGGGATACTTTAGACCAAGAGTTATTTGATAAATTAGGTACAAGTATAAATAATAGAATTGAGGCTATTATTGCGGCAAAGGGGTGGTATACTAATTACTAGGCTCAATTTCTATCGGAATTTAGAAATTTCAATATTATTAAGAAGAGCACATTATGAGGATCAAAATAAGCTATTATACACGTGAATTGAACCGTAATTAATAAAGATATAGAGAAGAGAAGGTGATAATAATGGGGTGCGGGGTAAAAATAAAAAAAACGGGAACTAAGCGACTAGTACTGTAGGTAGGTGCAAGGCACCACGTCTAGGCTCGCGATTGGGGAGCCCAACTGCTGCACGGCGGAGCCCCAATGCTATCCCAAACCCGTTGGAGGCATATCCAAGGTTGCATTGGGGTGGTGTGATTGCATACGGAAGGAAACCCACAAATACTCCAATTGGACAACCAGGTCCGAAGGTGCCCAATCTCCCTGGTGTGGGAAGATGTGATTGGAGTTGCATGCTAGTCGTTGCGTACAGAGGTCCGCACCCCATCATTCTCAACCAACCTTTACTTCTTGATATTTTCATCAATTGCGGTCCAATTCACGTGCATAGCAGCTCATGTTCATCGTCACAAGGTCCACCACAGGGACGGACCGCATCCCTATCACGACAATCTTTACTCCAGCTCCGCCATATTTTGGTACTACATTCATGACCAATTTACTCAACTTCGCAGGCAGGAGATGGGTGCCAGGCCTCGAGTCCCGCCAGTCCCGTCAAAGATTTGTATTCTCCGTCTGGCACATGCACAAGAGCATTCCGGTACACCGAATTACGAACTCTCCCGTGAATCACTGTCTCCGGGGTCTGAACTTGATTTCGGGGTCGGGGCACGACATAAGATAGATCTTAAAGGTTGAGCAGAGGAAGTTCTGACTGGGTGGGTTGCGAAGGCTGAGCTTGAAGCATAGAGAGCCACCCATTGAGATAGGTGGCGTGAGTGCAGACTAGTACCCTCACCTTCATCCACCCAACACAAAATTTCTAGAAAGCTCGTCAGATCTCCAGGATTGCCCGGGCCGAGCAATGAAATGGAGACAATGCTAAGTACTGACGGTGATAAAGTACGGATGTTGGGGATTCAGAGGTTGAGCGAGATGGAAGAGGAGACGAAGGCTGAGATGTTGGCCACGCAGCGGAGGTCTAGGCTAAAGCAAACAATATAAAGATAAAAACAAAACGTAGGAAATCGTCTGCTGGAGTCTGGGCTTCTGGCAACTTCATCATTCGTGGCGTAGGGATTGGAAGCAAGGGCTTTCGCCTGTTGACCGGCTCTAAAAGCAGCGTTGAGCTGGCGAGGTGGTGATTTTGCAGGGTAGTCAAGGCTAGAAAAGAGCAGGCTGGGGATTTTAATGAAGAGAAATAGGGTCTCTGTTCAAACTTACTGCACAACACAAAGATGTCATTGGAATGGGGGTTCGAGATAGGAAGGGTGAATCGTGAGGAAGCCATTGTCATTCGGAAGATGGATCTGCTCTCTTGGCCTAGAAAAGGAAGATTCATCTTTTCTTCTATCAACCATCGCTGCTGTACCCAGAACGGCTCAAATGGGAACTCTTCTTTTGTAGCTTGGAATGCCTTCGAGAAAAGCCGCTGATATACGCTGCCACTACTTCGAAATGACGATCAACGTGGGTGTAGCATCAAAATTTCTTGATCGGCCCAGCGAAAGAACCATCCACGATCATGCTACAGCCTCGAAATCGTCCAGGACTTTGCGTTCGACATGCCACTACCATTTATTAGTTTCCAGATTACTGCTCCGTGCGGCGAAGTGGACACCTACCAATTTGAATGGCGCGTTCCATGCGAACAGTAACGGTATAGCCTGCTTATACGCATCATTCTGCACCGATTGCTCGAAAAGATCCATACTGTCCCATCCCCTGGTAACGAAAAAACACTTGGCCTTCTCATCCTTGATGTCTTCATGCTCTTGCTCTTCCAGCACCCAACCAAACCCCCAACTCTCCCCTCCCGTCGCGCCCTTACGATAGATCTCATCAAACCGTGCAAAATCCGCTTCGACTTGTTTCTGGAACTCCGGCGTCACGCGAGAAGCGGGGAAGTACGTCTGTACATATTCGACCACGTTCGCTGTAGCGGGCCCATCTGCCCCAAATGCCGACCGGTCGAGCGCGACGTGGAAAATGCTGTATGGCTCGCCATAGGTACTGCTCACAGACTTCAAAAAGGACGTGAATTCCGGAGTTGCTGCAAAGTTTGCGTAGTCCTGGATACCATCCCACTCTGACGTGATCTGAACGGCTTCCTTATCTTGAATCTGTGTGCCAAGGACGAAGTGTTGGGGTGATTTTACTCCTTTGAGGGCCTTGACTGATTTCTGGATTGTGTCGTCAACTGTTATACATGAGCCAGCACCAAATTTTATGATCTCGGTAATAGCCATCTTGCAAGATGAGTTTTCTTCTGCTGTGACACTGGTAAAAGTTTGATTAAGAAAGTGATGAGTCTTGTCCGACAGGGGAAAGCCGAATGAATGTGAAGATTTGTCTGACATTGAACTGCTTAATATAACGTACATTCATTGTAGGTATGTTGCACAGACGAGATCCGCTGGCTGGTGGATTGTATTTATAAGCCGGCTTCTGAGAAAAGACCGAGACCGACACACTTGGCTTTTGCGCTTTGTATCATGGCGATCCTGCTGCTTATCAATTACAATATCGCTCCCCGATGAAGACCGAGACCGACGTGCTTGGCCGACATGGTGAGAGAAAAGAGGTGCAAGGGCAATCCTATTCATAAACAGTCGTCTCTATATCACGTGATCTACAGACCCACCTCACAACAGAAATGGCTCAACCAGCTAGAGCTGATGGTGTAAGAATCACATTATTGGTGCCAGGGCGGATTGAAGGATCTCGATTAGCGGAGTCCCGATTTTGTTATTAATGTAAGCAGTAGGCATTTTCAATTCCGCTGATTGGACATCATTTGCGGCTAAGGTGACATTTCAGGGGTAGCGAGATCCGAAGCAATGCAGGACGTCTAATTTGTGAACGATAAAAAGGTTATCTACGTCCCCAGTTCTCAATTTTTTATTATTAAGTTCACTTGACGGGTTTCAAAGTAGACTATCTACTCTCTTAGTCTATTAATAAAAGAGAAAGATATGTCGAGCTATCGACTTGTCGCGCTCGTGTTCTATGCCTCAGGTTCGCTGGCCCAACTATTGCCACGGGCCCCATGTGTTCAAGATGCCTGCCGTGATGCGGTGGACACATTTGTAACGCCCGGTCCATCGCCGTTTTGTACACAGTATGCTCTTGGACATACTGTCCCCCCGTCTCAAGTGCAGAATGCATGCAGCATCTATTCGACAAAGATTCCTAGTGTCTGCTCTTGTATTACCAATGCGCCAGTGACTACAACGAGTTCTTCAGGTACCACTAGCACACCATGTAATGTAGTGACAGTCACGTCTGTCGGTATGTCTACCGTCTCGCGGTTGCAGTAGAATCCAATTGAACTAACAATATCTTCTGGGAATAGTCACAGTCTACGCAAGCCCAACTCCCATTTGTAAGTCTGAACCACTCTCAGAGGTTGCAGCAGCTTGTTTTGTTCCTATGAAAGGACCCCTGACTATGTTATCAGTACTCCAGCCTGCTGTATCGCTCAGCCTACTCTTCTTAATGGAGACTTCGATGACTGCGCAGGCATTGATCCTCCCTGGGGACCATGTCCCCTTCGTTCATGGACCTACACCGATGTGAACAAAATCTCAGTCGACCTCTGTGGTGAGCACACGAACTGCCACACCGGAAATTGGGTCGCGTAAGTCCAACCACAGCCAACTCCATCCTACCTCCTAATAGTAACCTTACCATCCACATTACTCATTCCATAAACCACAGCTGCATGAGCCGTGGACCCGGCGTCCTCTCACAGCCCATCTACGTATGCAGCTGCGGCACGTACCAAGCGACCGCATGGTTCACCAATCCGGGGGAATTCCTCAACCTCTCGGGCACGCTGCCGATTGTGCCCGGTGTCCAATTTGGGCTGGCGGGCTCGTACTCGAAAGTCATGGCGATCCCGTTCTCCCCCGTGGCGTACCCTAACCCCACGTACTACCAGCTCTCGGCGCAGCTGACGGTGATACCCAGGAAGGAAGGCTGGGCCGAGTTTGAGATTATTGGTGTTTTTCATAATAGTTCGTATACGGGGTTTTGCGTGGATACGGTTAGTTTGCAGCGGCTTGATGATTCTTGTGGGTGCTAGACTGGCCATTGGAGAGAGAGGGTTGTTTTCAACTGGACTACTTGAAGCAAAATAAGTCTATTGGCTATAAGTAACGGGAAAAGACCAAAGTTTGGCGACCTGAAATTTCAAAATACACAACATAGGACTCGCTTCATCTTTTAAAGTCGTATATTCTGCAAGTGCTTCCGGCTCAGGAAAAGGGGCTTAAGCGAGGAACTTCTCGCATCTCGCTGGAGCTGACTGACGAGCGCATTGCATTCCACCGAGTAAATACTTCAAGTTCGAGATAATTGGAGGGTGCATCCCTCCTCTTTCCACTACAATTAATGGTATCCAAGCTTATTAAGACCCGAAATCCCGATTACAAATTCGTCCGTGACTTCGTCCGCAACTTCAACCCAGGCTCGGTAGTAATTATTGAATTTTACAATCGATTATTGGGTCGCTAAGTTTTTCGGATCGCGTTCACCTATAAATTTAGCAAGTAACTGCCTAAATTTTAGGGGGTATACGCTAGTAAATTAGCGATGGGCTTATTAGGATTGCAAAAGTCGTGAAATCGCGATGTTCAAAAATAAAGAGCTATTTATTTGAACTTAGTTATTAGTATTATTAATTATTATAAATGTTTAGCTAAAAAAATAATAAAAAATAAAAAATAAAGGTTAGAAATTATTAAATAATAGTAAAATTTGAGGCAATAATCGATTGTAATCGATGAGTAACCGCTCCGAGCCTGCTTCGTCCGATCGGACCAACATTATTTTTCCATACCGTAGATCAAGGAACCAAGGATGTATTTGCAAGCAAGACAGAACAGCGATAGCTAAATATTTTAGTAAAGATATCCCAAGACATAGTTATTCATGCATTTGTCTGTTCGTCCATTGCTTCGTCCGGCCGTGATATTCCTTCGACTTTCTTCGCTCTCAGATTCCGGATTACAGATCTTGTTTCTGGCCACCTTCGACTTCTGCTACTTAGCTACGCATCACTTTCGGCCCTGAATCTTCAAATCCGTCTCTGTTATCCTCCATTCTTCAGATTCTACCTGAACTACCCAGCGCAAGGACCGGAATCAGATACTATCAATCGCTCCATTACAGTTTGCTCAGCATGGGTTGGTTTGCTTCATTCCTCTACTCACAGCTATTTGTCAATCTGCCTGCGCCCACTAAGGATTTCACCGGCCAAACAATCATAGTAACCGGCTCGAACACTGGTCTTGGACTCGAAGCAGCCCGACACCTCTGCCACCTCAACGCCACATTCATCATCCTTGCTGTCCGTAACCAAGCCAAGGGCGAACTAGCAAAGCAGTCTATCCTCGCAAGGACTGGCAATTCCAACACCAGGATTGAGGTATGGGACCTTGACATGCAGTCGTACGACTCCATCAGAACGTTTTGCACCAGAGCCAACGACCTTCCTCGACTTGATGCTGTGCTAGAGAATGCAGGCATAATGACTAAATACTTCAAGATGGTGGCGGGGTATGAGTCAACCATCACCACAAACGTCATTGGCACCTTCCTCCTGGCCATTGGCTTATTACCAAAGCTGAGGCAGTCAGCCGCGAGATACAAAATGCAAGCAAGACTTTCCATCGTGGCCTCCGATTTGCATTTCATTGCCAAATTTGCAGAAGGTCTGGACAAGGATATTTTCGCGGCTTTGAACGATGAGAAGAAGTCAGAGATTGGCATGGAAAGGTTAGTGTCTTTTCACAACACAAGGTATTCTCTATGCTAATACTCCTCGTACAGATATGCTATATCAAAGCTACTTCAAGTCTTCGTTGTGCGCGAGCTTGCCTCCCGCATCACTCATGATCCCAAGTCGTCATCGCCGAGTGTGATCATCAACTGCATGACGCCTGGAGCTTGTAGGTCGGACTTTGACCGCGAATCTACAGGCGTTGGGAGAATTATGAGCATTTTCATGAATATGTTAATTGCACGCACTACAGAAGCAGGAAGTAGAACCCTTGTGGCTGGGCTCGCTGCTAGTGAGGAAAGCCACGGGAAGTACATGGCTGATTGCCGAGTTGCCGAGTACGAGATATCCCGCTGTTTGTATTCTTAATGGAGAAATAGAAATGCTAACGTAGTGGTTAGGCCAGGTTCCATGGTTCGAGGCTCTGACGGAGTGGCTCTGCAGCAGAAAATTTGGGATCAGCTTGTTCATCAATTGGAGGCTATTCAACCTGGTATTTCTCAAAACATTTCACTTCAAAGCAGTGTGTAGATGAGATTGTGGATAAAATGGGTTAAAAGATTGAGTCTTGGCAGTTTACAGGTGTTTATCTGTTGTTAGGGGATCGTTGCTACTGTAACTAGAGAGATGCCTTAAGTATAGGATACATAAATTGCTTTCCTTATCTTGACCAGATATGTATAGGACATGGGCGCGCAAATCGTCGCAAGAACAATCAATGTGCGTGGGAGTGAGTATATACTTTTCAGCTAGCGAGAGAAGAAAGGAAGGAAGCAAGACGGCGGTATAACTAAACGGTGGTCAGGAGTTGGGAATCTTTATGACCAAGTGACATCTAAAACTAAGCTAGGCACAAGTCCTTTCACCCAAGTCATCGGAATTTTTTCGGGGTCGATATGTCCAAGATTGTTGGCGATATCAAACTCTGGAGAAGCCCTTTCAATTTGTACGTTAGCTCTGACTAACCAATCGAGTTAGGTAGCAGTGTTGGAGTATGGCCCAGTACCACGTGCTCATTAGTGCATAAATAAGCAACATGCCACCTTTTAAGGGATAATCGCTCTTGAAAGTACTAATGCAATTAATCAAAGAGGTCAACTTGTTGGATCACCTCCGAATCCAGGATCCGGGTCCCATTCCTGATAAAGCGAGATGCCTTCACTTATTATTCTCGTCACTGCTGCAGGCCCAAATGTAGGTGCTGCTGTCTCCAAAAAGTTTGCAGGTAACGGTCACTTTGCGGTTACAAAGTGACCCTTGCAGCTCGTAGTCTTTCAGAGAGGATTCAATCAAATGGACACCTCTATGTTAAAGCGGATCTATCCAGTTCCGGCACTGTCCCTCAGATCTTTTATCAGGTTAAGAAAAACCATGGTATCCCGAAATTTTTTGGTTACAATGGTCTTGCGTCCCTTCGAGCTTCTCCTATAGTTCTTTATCTAACTATCCCAGGTGCTCATCGCCTTGTTACCTCCCTGATGGCCCAATTTCAGCATCGCTCAAAATGTCCAGAGAGCCCGGCAATGTCAGCCTGGGCGATGCTTATATTGCAACCCAAGAAGCATTGAGAGGCTTCAAGGAACTTCCAAAACTCTTTCCCAACCGCTTTCATCTTCACCGGAAACGACCTAAATCAGATTGCTATCCCGGGCGTGCTGTCTTTTGCGTTGCCAAAAGTGGCCGCTTCAATGCTGATAGAGTATGGCGCTGATGCATATGGTCACATAGGGTACCGGTACGTCAATCTCTCTCCTCTTACCTACTATAGCAGGGGGAAGAGAAACAGGCATTGAATTGATATCCTAACACTTCCCGCAACTAGATTCTACTGCGATGACCAGCGTCAACCTGACGGACGTCCCGCTGCGCTTGCCAGAGATGTCAAGGCAGCCGAGGCACATGCGGGCCTGTATTGGGCACTTGCACAGGAAAAGAAACAGCCTAAATGGTTAGTGCCCTTCACAATGGAGAAAGGGCGCGGAGAATTCTTAGGCATTGACTTTGATGGCAACACTCGTGCCTCATATAACGAACGTTTCGGAAGGTAGGTCCAGCAGCATTCTTGGTCGCTTGCGTTTTGGTATGGACTGGAAAAGGCCTCATTACTAAAGCGATCAGTTACCTAAGAAATACATCCGGTATAGTAGAATCATATTTTCAGCCCGACCATCCCACGATTGCAGATGTTTAAGATGCGCATTGATTGAAATCATACTTTGTTGACAGTCAATATTATGAGGTATTTTTAGAGATCGCTTCGGCGGTACGAGTTACGAGAAAGTGAATATCAAGATGCCAGACCCGAATGATTGTGAGCACGTGGGAAGAAGGTTCGAATCCAACATACAATAGACACTTTGAAATATGGACGAATTCTTCAATAGCGTTCTTAGTTTCTTAAAGCCTAGCAGTCTCCTGACGAATAGGGGCTCGAGAGGGTTAACGGGAGGCTGACTAAGCTCTCGATTTTTCCGATTTTCTAAAATTGGCGGCTTGACGACAATCTCATCATCTCCTTCTCTACCAACCACCCATTTTCACTAATGGACCCCAACTATTCAAAATGGAATCCGGCCCAAGGATTCAAGGTGAGACCAGTCGCAAGCGCAGGAGGAGGTCCAGCCTGTCCGGGACACAGGCAAGCAACTCTGCAAGTCCACAAACCGAGCTGGGCCAAATGAGGTCCGACAACGTCACGGGTTCGACGAGCTTTGTGGGGAGTGCAAGTGGCATCTATTTCGTGCGAACAGTTCGAACAGCTCTGGCTAAGAATCTCAACAACGGGAATGAGGCAGTTAGTGAAATGGTTCCTGGAGAAGATGATCAAGTTCATCCGGACAGCCCGCCCAATTCCCTTTGGAATCGCGACGAAGTCTCTTTCGGCATCGCAGACCAGAGGCAAGATAGTTCTTCAATCACCTTTGATAATCTCGTCCGCTGGAGCGAATCGTATTTCGATATCTGGCATCCGATTTTACCTTTCCTCCACGCACCCAGCATTTTGGAACTATTCGAGAAGGTCGCTTCACACGGGCTTTCGCATTTGAATAGTATCGAAATCATCATCGTACGTTCAGTACTATCCACATCTGTCGCCGACAGAAAGCAGCTCCCTGCGGATCGCGGAAACCTCGTTCCTTCCGCCTTCATTTTCAACTCGATCGAAGAAGCAGTGTCCTGTCTATCTCCCATTCTGCTACAGCCATCAACAACCTCTAGCATACAGGCCGCCGTGGGCATTCAAGTGTTTCTTCTTTCAATGTTGCGTCTCAACACGGCATCAAGATTTAGTGGACTCATTATTCAGATCGCATTTCATCTGGGGCTTCATCGATGCCCAACAAGATACAAGCAGTTCTCAAAATCCGAAGCAGATATGCGTCGAAGATTGTTCTGGTCGATATATTCCCTCGAGAGATTTCTAGCACAGTCTTTAGGACTCCCACTAAGCTTGAAAGATGACGACATTGATGTTTGTCACCCTCAAGATGAGGTCCACCTTGAAGATGACGAGCGTGCGAAGACCACTGAGCCTCATGGTATGATCTTTCCTTTCCATTGTAACTTTCACCTCTGATATATCGCACCAGATGTCCAGCTTTTCCTTCTCCCGGAATTTCTTGCCCGTAATAGTCAAATCAAAGGTTTGATCCTTGAGCTTCGACACAAGAATGTCAACCTTCGAGTTACAGATCCAGACGAAGTCGCGCATATTGATTCTGAAATCTCTCGGTGGTGGAATGACGTTCAAGATTTTATTGAGCCTATATCTATGGACGATGACGATTTGCCTAGTTCAGAGATCAAAACCACTGTTCCTCCTCTAAGACCGTTTCACCGGCTTCTACTCATAGTGCAGAAGCACGAGGCAGTGATCCTTCTGAACCGTCCTGCCATCACTTCTGGTAGCAGCTTCGCAATAGCTGCTGCCATGCAGAAGTGTATTGGAGCATCAAAAGCCATTATCTCAAGCGTTTTTCAGCACCTGCAAGAGAGTATAAGACATGAAGGATCGAGGGATGGCCGGATCCAGTATCCGCTGTTCTGGCCAGGCTTTACTTGGTGTGTCTGGATGAGGTACCAGATCTCCACATGCCCCGAGTATGACTTGTGACTGACAACTTGGGTAATAGCGGCCTTATTATATTGTACGCCGCTTCTGATGGATGTTATTCAGTCCCTGCGGCTGAAAGGTGGGTCTTGTCAGTTGCTCATAGTGACATGCTAATATTTATTAGAGAAGCCAACCGATGCATCCGAATCCTAGAAAATATCTCACTACGGGGTGGCTTCTGGCCTGGAGCATGCGCAGCCGCCATCAGAGACCTACAGCAAGCATTGCAGAAGAAAGTCAAAACCGATGTCTCTGGAGCACGGGACGGAAGTTTATCTAGACGTTATGAGACGCCTCGGCCATTGAACTGGTTGAACCAAGCAAGGCCGCCACCTTCTCGCCAGAACGGTCATATCCCACCACCTCCAAACCCTTCCTTCCAACGGTCGGGTGTTGGCTCTCAGACTTCTGGTGGTTATTCCCAACCTCGGGATCCTCCCAACACGGCAAATTCGGCCCAAGAGCCAAGCTTGGATCTTTCAGCTAATAGAACATCTAATTCTCGGACACATCCCGCCTCACCCTCGCAGAATGCGCTACCATTCAACTACGCTTGGCCCGGCATCGATGGGGGACTACTCGAAATGGACGATCAGTTCAATGGATTCGATGACATTTTTCAACTCATTGACGTGCCGTTCCATCTCAACGAACACAGCTCCCAGACAGCGTGATAGGGTAATTACAACCCTGCAAGCGCAAACGATACGCCTTTGCTCACGTTTCTTTTCAGTTCCTCCACGGCGACTTTCAGCAACTTCGTCTCATAACCTGACAACGGCCCAAGAGGATATGCCTTCACAGCACCAGCTCGCCCAAATTCCACAGGCACCGCGAAATAATCCACACTTAGCTCTGCCGCAATCTCCTTCCCGCCTGGTACGCCTGGAAGATACAAGTAAGTCTCTTCGATCACCTTACTTTCGCTGCCCATCGCCTTCAATATGGAGCTCACAAATCTATAGAGTCAACTGCTTTGTCCCAACTAATTGTGGGAGCTGGTCTTACCTAAATCCAGCGTAGGCCATGCAAGTGGTTGCAGACCCTGCTCCAGCCTTAGCCTGCACAATCTCATCGCCGCCAAATTGGACTCCTAAAACTTCGTCAGCTCAAATCAAACGTTTTCCCGATTTAAGACTTACTATAAGTCACCGCATCTCTCTTCTCTTCTGTCAGCTTGACAGCTGGGACACATTGACTAAGCAACGGCAATATAGTTGCCCCACTGTGACCCCCCACAACTGGAATTTTCAGTGCCTTTGGATCAGGGAGATCTAGTACCTGTTGAACGAAAGTTGAGGCACGAACAACATCGAGAGTTGTAACACCGAATACTTTCGCTGGGTTGAAGACATTGTGTTTCTTCAGCGTCTCAACGGCAATTGGGAGCGTGCTGTTTACAGGGTTGGTAATGATGAGCACGAATGCATTCGGGCAGGTTTTCGCGATTTCTATCACAAGATTTTGGATTACGCCGGCGTTCACTTTAAAGAGATCTGTGAAGTTGTGAGACCATGCTCGTCAATGATTCTGGTCTTTTCTTACCATCGCGAGTCATTCCGGGCTTTCGTGCAATACCTAAACAAAATTTCGGCAAATTCTCGAGAAGTTGGAGCAGAAGATTTCTTACCAGCTGAGATCACAACGATATCTGCTCCTGCAAGCGCTTTCTTCAAGCCGTCGTTGTCGGGCAGGAACCCGGTGACTTTTGAGGGGGTGTCGATGTGGTTCAGATCGATAGCCACTCCAGGAGCGTGGACAATGTCGTACAGAGACAGCTCTGTCACTAAAGGACTCTGCTCATAGCTTAGTCTGGTTTCGGCATGTTGAGGTCACGAGAGGATTTACCATCTTCAGCAGAAGACTGAGTGGCGAGCCGATCTGGCCGGCTGCCCCGAGAACTGCTACTTTCGGCATGTTTGGATGTTTGGTGGAGTGGAAATTATTGTGAGACTTCGGATGGTCAAGTCAAGTGGTGTACAACTTTGAAGGCGCTATGGACTTGTTGTGTTGTTTTATCTCAATGGAGAGAAAATCTACGTTGAAGTCGATCCTCCGTTGATCTCCGAGTTCGCATCCCCGCCGGCAAACGTTCCCCGGGTAGTTTTTAGTCTGCGGAGAGCAGCTAACTTGTGATCATCTCAGTCTTTATTGCGCTTTTGAAGATTGGGGTGGGTGTGTGAGAAAAATCTGACGTGGGGAAGCGGCTAGATTTTGAACATCAAGTGGCTCGAGTCCATTCGCACCATGAGTTTTAAATTCTTCTTGTTCGTTATTGTGTGCAAAAAATATCAGAAAACGTTAAAATATTTCAATTTGTCCAAGAATGGATATTAACAAATGAGAGGAATATCATGAACCTCAACTCATTAATGTTCATTCGTCAGCGCCCCGGCTTTCTCAAGCTGTTCAGCCACAACTGTCAACAGCGACTCCCCCAAACATCCCCTCCTCGCATTCTCCATCGCCAAAGTCTCCATCTTTGCAAGAGTCTCCGTAGTATGAGTACCCAAGTGCGGTATCAACAAAGCACGGCTATTCTTCGCCAGGATTTGGTTGATCTCAGGCTCCCGCTCATACACATCCAACCCCACGGCCGCAATCTTTCCCGCTTCCAAAGCAGCAGTCATAGCAGCTTCATCAATAACTGCACCACGCGCTGTATTCACGATAACAACACCATCTTTCATCTTCTGGATCTCCTGTTCGCCAATCAAGTGCTTGGTCCTTGAATTCAACGGCACATGAACAGAGATGATATCACTCTCCCCAAGCAACCTCCCAAATGACACATACTCTGCACCAGCAGCGTCATCTTCATTCAGTTTGTTCCGATTGTGATAAATCGTTTTCATCCCAAAAGGCTCCGCACGTCTTTTCACTGCTCTGCCGATACGCCCCATTCCCAGAACTCCGAGCGTTTTGCCTTGAGGATCATGTCCGAAATCTATTCCTGTCTTGAAGTTGCCGTTTCGAAGGGAGAAGATTGCTGGATTGAGTTGCCGCAAGGCACCAAGGAGGAGAAAAATGGCGAGGTCGGCGGTCGCGTCCGTGACGGGGTCCGGGGCATTTGTTACTTTGATGCCGCGGGCTGTGCAAGCTTCGATGTCTATGTTGTCGTATCCTACAGTTTATTAGTGCAAGAATAAAGGGATTTGGCAGAGAAATATGTAAAATTACCAGCGCCGTTATGGCAGATGAATTTCAGGGATGGTGGAAGATGCTGGATTAGCTCTTTGTCAAATTTTCCCGCCAGCTTTTTGGAGAATTAGAACTTGTGGGATGTTTTGGGAATGAAAGGACGGACTGCGTAGCTAGAAGAGGTGCTGTAGATAGCTGTTATATTATTATATTTTCCTTTGAAGTCTTGGAAGAGCTCTGCCCTGCTCTTGCTGCTGAGGAGTTCTGGTTGGGTTACTGAAGATAAGTTTTTGTATACAGGATGTGCATGGCGGACTGGATTGAGGAAAAGGATGCGGGGCTTGGAAATCATGATGAATGAATTTGAGACAGAAAATGTTGATTGTATGGGATGAGGAATTGCGTTGTCAAACTCACTGAAGAAACATATGGCACGTGAGAGTAAGTTAAAGATCCATGGCCCATGTATGTAATCATATACATACAAAGGTGACTGCGATGCTTCTACGATGTTTCGGGAATAGCGGCGGAATAAAGAAGCCCGCAGGTGCGGAAACCGGCCAGCCCACCCCGCCAGGAACCAAGCCGCGCACTTCTCAATGACCAGCGGAGAAACAATATATCTGGAGAGAGAACGCCGTCTTTCCGGTATGCTGTGCCCGTGTCTATCATACTGATCGACTCCCAGCGGCAGACTATTACTCCGATTGAGCCGAGGCCTGGCTACCTCTTTTAGATCGAAAGGGAGTCCATCATCACATGCTATGTGGGAGACTCAAGGCGGATCTTGTGAATCATGCAAGAGGAAGAAGTGCAAAGTAAGTGCCAATCATGTTTCGTATGTGGAAAGTATTAACCAAGTACTTAATAGTGTGATCGAAAGCTGTACGAATGCGATACCAGAGTTTGTAGTACTAGGGCTGATTTGCTTGTCTCTAGACCTATTTGTGGACAGTGTGCTTCCTCACCACAACTTTGCAAATACGCCGAGAATAATAAGAGGTGGGTGTGTTGTATTTCTCATCCATTCTTATACTGAAGTTGTTAGGGGGATACCAGGAGGCTATCTCGGTGCTTTGGAGAATCGGCTGAATGAAACCGAGATAGCGCTCTACAACGCTCTGTGCGAGCTTCGAAAACTCAAATTAGAGAGTGCGTTTACCGACCATCCCGACTTGTCTGAACCTCTGCAATCTCGCCAGGCAGATGGAAACAAGTATTCTCGGATGAACGAGTGGGTTCGGTATCCTCTGAAAAGGTCGGACGAACTTGAAATTTGGTGGAATTCGGTGGACAAAAACAAAGTACTTGAAGGTAGGGAACGAAGGGCTTAGGCTGTCTCACCTGCAATTGCTATTGACACTAAGCAGATCTGAGGGAAGAGCAACCTGATCTAAATATGCTCTTTCGCAATGAAGAACCTTTGGACCTTCCCAATGCTGGAAAACAATACCAACAGCAAGAACGGCTATTATCCGAAACTCCTCATTGCCACCAATCTCCAGTTGCAATTTCTTTTGGCTTGGTAGGTCAACATACAGTTCATGATGTTCAGGAAAATTTCCGGCCTGAAATAACAGCTCCAGGAGAAATAACAAGCGACCGGGGGGTACCTTCATCGCACAATACGAGGATACAGCCTCTGGGATATCCAGATACTACAAATGATTTAAGTTCAATTCAAGGCCAAGTCGGGAACTGGACCAGTGATTCAGTAGGAGGTGGCTTGAACCCGGAGGGTGCGACAGTGGCTGGCGCTGAAACGAATCGTTCAAAAGAACTGTCTTCAAGGATGAGATATAAGTATTATTGAATCAATAGAAATGGGATTGTTGCCATAGAGGGACTGCTTCAGAGTGAAAATACCTTCCAAGTCAAGTGAAAGTGATCACTTGATCTTGCTCCTCCGATTTCGAAAGTCATTGCGTGGAGGCCCAGTTGACGATAGAGCAAGAACACCTGATCAGTTCAATTCGGTGAAAATGCTTTAGTCAGAGCTGACAACCCTTTGCTCCCCGCTTCTCCGTTAATTGGACAAATCAGATATGGCATGTCTGAGAAATTGGTTCCGGGCTTCGTTTCCCGGATCTCCGTAGGTAGTAGCCTTTGAGGGACCTTAGCGTCCAAAAGAACTAGAGAACGGGCAAGAGCCCAGCATGCAACACTTTCCGTAAAATTCCATCATTAAACGGCTTTAAATTTAAAAGTTTCAACTCCGGGGCCATATCCTCATTCTTATCCATCTGCTGCAACACTATCTACCTCCCCATCAGCTCTCATATTTCTGTATCTCTTCCATCAAGCATCGGCCCATCCTCCCCAGTGCAAAGAAACTCCTAGCACTATCAAGTTCTTACAGATCACCGCCTCAATTGAGTCAAAAATGTCAAACTCGGTGGCAAAAACAACAAAAAGTCGCAACTACAAAGTTGCATCGATTCCCGCTGATGGGTTTGGTCCGGAAGTTGTGAGTGCTGCCATTGAAGTTGTCCAGAAGCTCGCAGAAATATCGAAGACCTTCACTATCGAGTTTCAACACATTCCATGGGGAACCGCGTACTACAAGCAGCATGGCAAATATGTGGAGGACAACGTGTTAGAAGTCTTGAGACGGTACAACGCTATTTTGTTCGGGTCCGTTGGAGCAACAGGTAAGGTTGTTCTTATAACGATTGATTTCCCAATTATTGACTTGCGATACAGATGTTCCAGATCATATCTCTCTGTGGGGCCTTTTGCTGGCTATCCGTGGACCGCTGCAGTTGTATGCCAATGTTCGACCGGTGCGGACATTTCCTGGGACGTTGTCGCGTCTTCGCGATACCAAGTCCGGAGCTCCAGATATCGATTGGGTTCTGGTACGCGAAAACACAGAAGGTGAATACTCCGGCCATGGTGGGAGATCGCATCGGGGTCAAAAATGGGAAGTTGCAACTGAGGTTGCTATATTCACCTACGTTGGCATTGAACGAATTATGAGATTCGCATTTTCAGTGGCTCAAGCCCGCCCTAAGAAGCTTCTTACCGTCGTCACCAAGAGCAACAGTATGCGGAACGGCATGGTTCTTTGGGACGGAGTTGCTCTCGAAGTGTCTCGCGATTTCCCTGACGTCAAGTGGGACAAAATGCTCGTCGATGCCATGACTGTGAGAATGGTCAACTCGCCAGGATCTTTAGACACAATTGTTGGGACGAACCTTCACATGGATATCTTGAGCGATTTGGCAGCTGCTTTGGCAGGTAGTCTCGGTATTGCTCTATCAAGCAATCTGGATCCCACAAGGAAGAATCCCAGTCTTTTTGAACCAGTCCATGGCAGTGCATTTGACATCACTGGTAAAGGGGTTGCAAACCCTGTGGCGACTATTTGGAGCACAGCGGAAATGCTGGGATGGCTCGGAGAAGGCGAGGCTAAAGACACATTGATGCAAGCGATCGAGAATGTTTGTAATGCGGGAGTGTTGACAGCGGACCTTGGAGGGACCGCAAATACGAAAGAGGTTACACAGGCTATCTGTGAGGAATTGGAGAAATTGGGAACTCGGAAATGATGAATTTTTCACTGACGTATTTTGGAACCAAATCAATTTATTGACTCATGAATACTCCTGCTTGTGGAATTTGAGTAAACCAGGTATATTTCTTGAACTTCTCAATGAGAAGATTGACAAAGGTGTGGAGAGAGAAATTATGGAAGTCATCAAGGCAGTGAACATGAGGTGGCTTTGCTTCCCAGGGGCGGGTTCCACTTACTTTAGAAAGCCTCAAGCTTCGGAAATTGTGAAGTTTAAAGGATCTCTCTTTTCTTCAATCGCTTCCATGAGCTTTCTTGATGGGTTTCATAAATCATATTTGATTGTGAGAACCTTGAGTCACTATGCTCGTTCGAGTTGTCTCCTTGTAAATGGCGGAGAAGGGTTGAGAAGGTACTACTCCTCTTGGCTTTTCTCAACCTGAGAACCTTCCGTCATCTTTTCCTCCATGTTCTCGATGTCTGCCAGCACACCTCGTGGAAGTCTTCTGGCTGCTGAAGTCACCTGCCACCAGTGTTCCGGCTCTGAGAAGACCCTATCCATCTCTTCCAAAGACCAACCATTTGTTTCAGGGAACAGAAAATATACCATCGGAGCTACAGCAATTCCGGTACATGCATACACGATGTAATACCTGTACCCGATACTTGTAAACGCAATTGGAGTGATCTCCGCAATGACGAAATTGAACAGCCAGTGAGACGATGTACCGATGGCTGAGAGATGGATTCGCAGCTCCTGGGGCGCAATTTCCGTCCCGTACAAGAAGTTGGCACCGAGAAAACCAAGGGGGAAGAAAAACATGAACATGAACAGGAAGAAAGTCGCCGCTGCGCCGGCACCGGAGTGTTGAATTTGAGACACCGTGATTGCCAAACACATCATGGATGCACCCATTCCAACCCCAGCTATCATGAACAAGGGCTTACGGCCAGCGCGATCGACAAAATAATATGCCAGCGAAGCAGCCAAGATCTTCCAAGTCAGCAGTCCCGCTGCAAGGACGGAAGCTTGCTGTGGACCGAACCCGAGAGATTGGCGAAAGATTGTCGTTCCGTAATAAGTGATTACGTTTGCCCCTGTTTGATTTTGTAAGTATTTGATAATGCTGCAAGCTTTCGAAGGATTTCTTACCGGTCATTTGAGCGCAAAAGTTAATGAGAATTGAGAGAATGGTGCGATACAGGAGTCTCTGTCGACCGGGCTTGAAGAGATCCACGAAGCCCTGCTCTCGAGCTGATTGTCTAGCATAAGCGTCTTGAAGGCACTGTAGCTCGACGGCAACGTGCTCGGACTCGACGTTTATATCCTCAAGGATAGAGAGAACTGTTTTTGCCTCATCTAACTTTCCCTTTTGTACAAGCCATCGAGGCGATTCCGGAAACAAGAAGGCGGATGAGCAGATGAACGCACAGAAGATGAGTGGCAAAGCGAGCGGCAACCTCCAGCAGACCGAGTTTTTTTGGTGGAAAGACAACCCAAAGTTGACCCAGCTTGCTAGTCCTATACCACTTGCGATGAAAATGCCAAGCACTACTACGTTCTTTCCACGGTTCTTGGGTTTAGAACATTCCGCTTGCCAGACTGGGACCACTGCATTAACCCCTCCAACTCCAACGCCAGATATGATACGGCCGATCACCAATTGGTCGAGAGTGAACGAAGATGCTTGAAGAGTTAAACCGATGGCTGCGATTATAGCGAAAGTAACGAGAGCTCGACGGCGACCAAACGGATTTCCGACCGAGATAGAAACTAGAGCTCCGATTAGACATCTAAGGGTGTAGATTGCTACGACGGTTCCTTTTCAAGGTTAGCTACATGGAAAAAGCTAGAAGTTAAGACTTGTTTGCCTTGGATACGAGAATTCTCTGCTTTCAAAGCTCCTGCGGTGTTTGTTGTGTCGATACGAGGGAAGTATTTGGTAAAAGAGGCAAAACCGAGTGTTCCTCCGATTGCAGACCTACCATCAAGTTAGCAACGTATTTCTTTAGGGAGGAGAGAGCGAGGAGCGAGCCGGGTGCATGAAACATCTTCCCGACCAGTGAGGTAAGGAGCTCGGGATATGGGACAAAGAAATAGGTTGGTTACTGATTGTACCCGAAGAGTAAAAATGATGGAACAACTACAAGGAGGATTCTAACTCTGCCAAGAGTCTCTCCTCGGAGACCTAGGTATTTCGCCATTGTGTGACAACGCGAGGGTTATTGTCTGTAACAAAAGTGATTCAAAAGGTGTGTTGGAAAGAGGAAGGGGAATGAAGGTCAATTGAAGTAAGATTCAGCTGCCAGTAAATCCGATGGCAATCAATTATTACCGGCGATTTCCCCTCCTTTTAAGTTCTCATCGTAGCAAGCATCTTCTGGCGATTGGTAAGGAACAAACCCCGGGGAACATTCCCCACAGCCTTGTTGCCCGCGGCCGACGATACCTAATTGAACCCCCATCTCTGTGGGTTCTCCAGATTTCCCCCGCAAGGAAGTTTCCGGCCTTCGATGGGCGGTTGGGTGGAATGTTTCTCCGTGCGGAGATGGCTATTGCGCTGGGAGCAATATGGAGGTGCAAAACGGTAATATTAATGGTTGACAAGGCCTAAATAACTAAGATACGGGCGGAGTGAGTTCTAAGACAGGAGAGAAGGAGTGCAAAGCTTGGTTTTTATGCCCATCAACTCCAGCGATGTGTATGCTCTAAAGCAAGTGCTCCTATAAATAACAAATTAGGTACCGCGTTTATTACTAATCAGATAATAAAGCAAATAACTATATTAGTGAGCTTTAATAATCTCCGCAAGTGAGGCATTACAAATGAGAGTGGAGAAGACTAAATTAGTGGTTGAACCTGGTACTGGAAGGAATGGTAAGCTAGCCAGGCTAGTGTTCTACCAATTCAATAATGGCCCTGTCATGCAATACCAGCCAAACCAGCCAGTAGTCATGCACTAACCAAACTAGCAACGGATTATACTATACCTCAAAGTATCTTGAATATTTTATTCTTTATAAGGTACCGGGCTTTTGGCTTCTCTCTTTATACCAGCTACTTTGCTATTAGCAAGTCTAGCTAAAAATAAGCAATTTTCGCTTATATTAATAATAAATATTACTCGAAATGTTACAAATACTTTAAATAATTACTAGATTTATAATTAAAGAAAAACAATAACTATAAAGAAAATAATTCAGGAATATATAATTAATATATTTTAAGAAATCTTGGCTTTTAAATAAGCTTATATTCTTGAAGTATTTGAGATAAAATTAATAAAATAATAAAAGCTCGCTATTAGAATACTTAATATAAGAATATAATTATTTTATTTAAAGTAATTTAAGCTATAGTTTAAAAATACCTTCTTTATAGGAATTATTCTTAGAGTTTCTAGTCCCGAATTAAGATTTTATATAATATATTCTTATAATTATTTTAATTTAATTAAGAACTCTTAAAGTTTAACTCGATTTTAAATAAATTAAAAGGATTTCCTTATTAAGTAAAAACAAATATATTATTTCAAGAATATAGAAATATAATTTCTCTAATATTATAATACTTTAAAAGCTTTTATAAATAATAAATTTAAATCCGGTACTAGTATATATTTATTTTTAATTATATTAATTCTAATAATTTCTTTTATAACTAATTATAAAGTTTTTATATCTAAGACTTTTATTAAAAAGGTTTTTAAAAAACTAGTTTCTTATTTAAATATATCTTTTACTAAGGAAATCGGGATCTAAATAAAGCTAATTAATAATAAATATAATTTATCTTATTAAATTAAATATATTTAATAATATTATTAAGAGTAATAATAATAATAAATATATTTTAACTAATTTCTTATTATATATATATAATTATATAACTATACTCTAGCTATTTAACCGTAATTAGTCATATTTACTTATAGTAAATACTATAATTTTTGGGCCTAGTAAACTATAATACGAGCCTAATTCTCACATATTATATTTCTTTAATTTTTTCGAATTCTCTTTTTTATTTTTACTTAATAATTTCTCTTTTCTTTAAAAGTTTCTTTAAATTATTTATATAATTTCTTATTTTCGATTTCTTTTTATTTCTTATTTCCGATTTCTATTTCTTATTTTACTTAAAATTAAAATTATTTTCTAATTTAAGTATTTTTTTTAAACTTAAAAGTAAGCTTTATTATTAAAACTAAAACTGCTTTTATTTTAGCCTTTATTATAACTAAAAATAATATATAAATTAATAATATAAATTAATTTTTATATATTAAAGTTTATTTCTAATTAAAGTCTAATTTATATTATTTTAATATAATATTATTTCTTTTCTTTTTATAATTAGCTTTTATTTTTATTTCTTTTATATATTATATTTTTATTATATCTTATAACTAACTTATATTTAAGTTATTAAATATATCGAAAATTAATATAAAATATAAAAATTAATATTTATATATTTTTAATATTTTGGTTTTAGGCTTAAAGTATTATAGTAATTCTTTTTTTTTTAAATTTACTAAGCTAATAATTTGCTTTATAAAAAACCTTTAAAACTTTATAAAATATTATTTTAATTATAAGTTTAATTCTTTTTATATTACTTATTATAAAATATATAAGAAAAAAATTATAATAAAACAAAAACTTATATAAAATATATAAAATATAAATAGTAAATTATTATTTAGAATTATAAAAAAGCTAGCTTTTTTATATAATTCTTATAAGTTATATATAAAAGGCTCTAGTTTCTATTATATAATTAAGACTTTAAATTATTAAAATAATATAATTTTTATAAAATATAGCTTATTATATTATAATATATAAATAAAAAATATATAAAAATAATAAAATTATAATTTAGCTTTAAATATAATTACTTAATTAGTATTATTTATATTTATTATTTTTAATTACTTTTAAGTTATATAATTATATATATAATATAGTTATATTATTAAAGAAATATATTTGAAATATATATAAGCCTTATATAACTTAATATATTATAAGATATATATTTATATTTATATAGTATTTTATAGTTTAGTTTTCTTTTTTTAGCTTTAAATTATTTTTTATAAAAGATCTTTTATTTTGCTTTTTAAATACCAAATATTATATTTATAATAATTACTATTTATTAAAATATTTTTTTTTTAAAAAAAAAGAAAACTAAAATCTTTATTTTAATTTAAGTATTTCAGAATTATTACTTAAAATAATAATAATTTTTTTAGAAATTAATAAAATAAAACAACTTTTATTTTATTTTATTAAATAGCTTTTTATAAAAGAAATATATATTTATTATTTAATATTATAAAACTTTAATTTTCTTTCTTTTTAATAATCTTTAGAATATAAGATTTTTAAATTACTAAAAACCTATATTATAAGAATTTTTTTTAATATAAAAAAGTATTATATATAGTTTTATTTTTATTAAATATATTATAAAATTATTTTAGAATTTAGATTATATTAGCTAAATTAATTATTAGAATTTAGACTTTAATAATTAATTAATAATTAAATTTTATTATAATTTAGTTTTATTTTTAAATAAATTATTAATAATATAAATCTAAAGAATTAATATATAATTATAATTATAAAGAATTAATTAGTAAATATTTAATAATATTAAGTTTAAATAAAAATAATACTAATAATAATCTTTATAATATATTATTTAGGGCTTAGAAAGCAAAATAAAAGATCTCTTATAAAAATGATTTAAAGCTAAAAAAAAAGAAACCTAGAATATATAAGGTTATAAATATATATATATATATTTTACAATATATTAGCTTATAAGAGATTTAGTTTTTTAAATATCTCTAATATATTTTGAAATTTTTTTTTTAATAAAGTAGCCGTATTATATATATTATTATATAACTAGAAAATAATAAAATATAATAAAATATAAATAATAAGATATAGATAATAAAATATAAGTAATATTAGTTAAATAATTATATTAGTTAATTAAGTTAAAAACTAAATTATAATATTATTTTCTTCTTTTAAATAAGCCTATTTCCTAGCTTTATAAAAGCTATTAATTAATTTTATTTTTGTATTATTTTTCTTAAATAAACTAATATTTTATATATAAATATTATATATTAAAAACAAAAGCCTTTAATAAATAATGTAAAAGAATTTATTATTATTTTTATATAATTTCGAATAAGTATTATTTTTTATATAATCTAGCTAATATTATAAGGTTTATAAAAATTCTAGTAAATTTAATATATTATTATTATTATTATAAAAGTATTATAAAACTAGAAGACTATTATTTAATATTAAAGCTAAATATTGTTCTAGATATTTATTTTAATTAATTTATTGAATTTTATATTTTAGTTTATTTTTTATTAGCTTAATTATAATAACTCGTTTAATATTATACTTTTGTTTATTATTCTCTAGTATTATTAGAGGTAATTCCGAATTCGCTTAGCTTAATAAGAAATTCTAGAAATTATTTTATAGCTTCTTTATATAAAAAACCGAATATCTTTTTATAATTTCTAATAGCTTAAAAAGAAAAAGAATAGCTATACTTTTTAAAATCTCGAATAAGTTCTTTATTTAATTTTCTAGCCTTTAACTAAAATAATTAGATTTCTAGTACTTTATAATAATTTATATTTTATTTCTAACTTCGAAATTAATTAAATAATAATATTTATTAGCTTATATTATATATTAGTTCTATATCTATTTTATATAATTTTAGGTAAATTATTATAATTTATATAATTAGTTTACTAATACCTTAGTTTTATTCTTATTTAGCTTTTTTTTTAATAAATAAACTAGCTTTAATAAGAAAGTTCTAGTTAAAAGAAATACGAGATTTATAATTAATTATAGTAATTTATTTATTTTAATAATAGTTAATATATATATATAATCTCGAATTAAAGTACTAATTAATAATTTCCGTTTATTTATTTATTTAAGAATAATTAGTTATTAAAAGCTTAAGTTTAATACTAATTCTTATATAAAATTCGCTTTAAAAATCGAATATAAATTAGAGTTCCCGATTCAATATAATTATTTCTAAAATACTTATTTAATATATTATATAAAGTAAAAATAAAGGTACTAATAATTAGACTATAATTATATCTTGTTTTACTTTTTAAATAACTTTT